TTGGTTTTCTACTGCTCTTAGAATCTACTTCGGTTGAGCTCGGTGACATTGTAGTTTTTTTAGAAGTAATTTTGGTTTCCGACGCTTCAACACTAGCTTCTTCCATAACTGCAAGTTCTTGAAATTTTAGAGAACCTTCCATCAGAAGTTCTAATTCCACTTCTGTATTTTCTACACACGATTTAATTGCAAAAGGATCAATAATTTCTTTGCATTCAGATTGTGATTTCAAGACAACATTTTCGTCATAAATTTTTTCTTCATTTTGAATCCAGTCATAATGCTCTTCAAGGACAAAGTCGAAAAAATCTTGCAAACACAATGGAGTAGGAATATGACACCTCCACTCTTCTCGGGCAATGCCGTCTTTGTCGTGACTATTAAAAAACATTAATATGAAACTGTCAGTAACTTCACAGTACTTGTAATCAACACAATTAAAGCTGTTAAATGCATCTCGCATAATTTGAAAGGCACTAACTCCAGAGAAATCTTCAAAATGTTCAAAATCATCAATCATGTGATTGATTGGCTGCTCATTTGAGATTTCGGCGGCAGATACCAGTTCGCTTATGTCAGGACAGTCAAAAAGAAATCTTATTCGACAAACTTCGGGGTCATCGCTGTAGGAAGCGCCTGATACATTTTCACTTTTTGTCATTGAGGGAAATGAAGGAGATGTTGAACTAGAACTCTTCATAAATGAGGGACATTTAGGTAGTGGTTCAGCTAAAACACTGCGTTTTAAATATACTTTTTTAAATTCTGATATTGTTGAAGATGGCAAGTGCTTTTTTTTAAGAGAACTTCTATTATTGTATAATTTTCGACAGGCTAATATGTGGATTAGTCTATTTAGCTCCGCTGTTTCCACGTCTTCTCGATCAAAACATGTAAGAAGTACATTAATGTGAAAATTTATTTTGGCCTCTATCTCGCCTTGGGGTCTGTTTTGATTCTGCCACAATTGGTTGATAGGCATTCCAAATAATGTTGTCCAAACTATATTATCTAAATTGATATTTCCCAGGTGAAAGGTGTTATACTTCGCTATATCTCCGTAATGTATTATTATAGGATCTTTATGATTTTCATATTCATCGCCATATGTGAGACGGTAAGCTTTTTTCTGAGATTCAGTTTTACATAATGTACTGAAAACATCTCTAACAAGGGTTTCCGCCTTTGCTATTTTACCATCCTCGTCACCACTTTTTCGAGGTTGGTTTATAGTCAAAGCAGTGGACAGTGACGTCCTGCTACTTTTTTCATCAATTTCATGACTTTTTTCAACGGTGTGAAGTACACTATCCAAAAGCGAATATATGGTAACGCATTCCAGAGGCAGATCTTGTATTTGTTGATAATAATACTTGATATATCGCTCGTCATTAAAGTCCATGGGGATATTGATAATTTCCATGTTTTCTAAATAATGCGTATGTTGTCGCGTTAAATCTTGAATATCGTACATTAGGTAACACAATTCGTCATAAATTTTATCCGGACTGCCAGATAAGCTCTCGGAATCCCAGTACGGTGGTGCGAAAACAACAAAAGCAGTGTTCTTAAAATCATCAGCTGAATCTCTGTGAATTCTCAGCTGCTGTAAATCATCCCAAAACTTTAAAGATTTCTCAGTTAAAATTTCTGTTTGGCTTTGTCCTCTTTTGCTGGGTCTCAGTAAGCTTGAAGGCACTCGAGTTGTAGATGAATCGATCCGTATTTGAACCACTGCCGTGAGCGGAATTCCAATTTTGACAAGTGCTCCAGGTAAGTAAGGTTCCACAAAGCCAGTTATAGCAACATAAAGATTAGGACCATCTGTAGGGAAATCATCAACGTAAACTTTGTCTCTCCATTCTTCTCCTCTAACGCGTAACTGCGTATTATATTTCTTTCCCTCGGATGGCTCTGGAGTTTGAGGTAATGGCTCTGGTTCGCCCTTTTTACCCTTAGCTTTTGGGGGCGGTTCGGGTTCTGGTGGATCTGGAGGCTTGACGCTGACAGTTCCTCTAACTTCTGCTCTATTAACCATGGTTGTAGATTCTCTTCGCATTCCTTCCTTAACTTCCAATCTTTGGCGTTTTATAAAAAGATATTCATCTTTCATTTTTAAAATGAGATGTTTAATTATCAGTGCTAGTATATCCGGGGGTATATCCTTTTTGTCTTTAAGAAATGCCTGGCCTTCTTCGAAGACGCGAAGATTGTCATCTTTTACTTTCTTCTCTCCACCCAACTGGTTAATCATGAAGGTCGTTTCAGTCTTGCAGATATTTTTTATTACAAATCTCTTCTCTTCAGCGGCAAAAGTTTCAAACTTGTTCAAATAAATGCGATCTTGGTCACTTCCAGCTGCTTCTATAAGAACCACCTTGACTTTCCAAGTCTCTTCATCTAGTGGAGCTTCTTCTATACAGGTACGCCAATAGTTTTCATCTACGACATCTTTACCCTTCTTGGGACCCATTTCCTTATTTTTAATAACTTTCTACAGTAAATTATTAATTCACTGTCACACACAATAAAAAAACAATGACGTGAATGTAAATGTGACAATCGTTTCGTTCACGACATTTGCAGTGTCATGAAATATAAAAAAAAAAAAATTTAAAGAGGTGAGAATCTACTGTTGTTTCCATTGTGTATCCAGAGCAAGAGCCTCAGCTAAGGCCCGGTTTCTACCACGGCGGAGCGGAGAAGTGTTTTAAATAACCAATCAGATTTTATTTTTCAGGACACCAGGAAATATGATTGATTATTCAACACTACTCTGCTGCTCTCTGCCTTGGTGGAAAAAACTCACGAGGGCGCGCGACCGCACGCAGTTCTTTCGGGCACCCGCGCGCAAGTTTAGGTGGAGGCCCTCAAGTAATATTTCCTCATTTAAGTTTATAAAAATACTTTAAAAGACACAGAGGCATTATGATATTTAACAATCCCAACTAATAATATTATAAATGCGAAAGTAACTCTGTCTGTCTGTTACGCTTTCCCGCTTAAACCTCGCAACCGATTTTGATGAAATTTGGCATAGAGATAGTTTGAGTCCCGGGAAAGAACATAGGATAGTTTTTATCCCGGTTTTTGAAACAGGGACGCGCGCGATAAAGTTTTTCTGTGACAGACAAAATTCCACGCGGGCGAAGCCGCGGGCGGAAAGCTAGTATCACATATTTTCAAGCCAGTACCAATTATGGAAACTTGAGGTATATACCTAGTTTATCACAAGTTATTAATAAAAAAACAAAATGCTCTCTGCATTTCGCTCATCGTAAGTCGGGCAAAACATGTCAACACCCATATAAAACACGTGGGCACAATGGCCAATATAATAATATCTAGTTAGTATTATTATTTTAAGTATTTTTACAATAAATGAAATTATACATATGTACAGAAATTGTTTATTCTTCAACATGCAATAAAATCAATCAATAACAAATACACAATTCAATATAATGTATATGTATAAAATAAATACATAAGTAGTTACAAACATTATTATAATGAGAACAGTTTTTGATCATGATGAGTTTTTAAATTTAAAAATGACCTCACCAAGTTTTATTACATACAACTTAGACATCTAGCACAGCCAATGTCTGTAAAGATGACCCACGCTGAACTGTCCCACAAAACTCAATAAATTGTTTAACTAGGTATATGGTTTCCAACATGGCAAATATCGGAACCAGCGATCCGGTATTGACGGTGGCGCCCCGCTGTCAATGTCATGGATAGGACAGTTCAGTATTTTGGAACTATATTCATCAAATTATTAGACACAAGCACACACTAATAAAACACTCCAAATACAAGAACATAATATACATATAGCCTGACCAGGAACATAAAAACCCTGGCATAGAGGCGCGTCAATTGCATTTGATAGTGCAACACTGAGTACAGTCGTACCTGTGTTAAATTAATAGGCTAACTTTATGTATCAGGATTCAGGATTACGGGCTAATTTGATATTTTCATGAATTAACGAAGAAATATTAATATAGGTAACCTGGTTTAAATAAATTAAATGAAAACATCAATCGAGCTAGCAGGATTTATTTTATTGTTCATCAATAATCAAATTTAGAACTTGAATATTCAACTGCAATGTCTGCTCATTAACGCTTCAAACTCGGTACTTCTTTCCCAATTCCATAAAATTCAACACTTAGAAAGTGACAAAAAACTTTAAAATAGGTAGTTGAAACAAACCACAGCTAATTTTCACAGTGGACTGTACTATACGATAAACATGTCAGTCAATTTGACACCCTTGTCGGAAAAATTATTCAATGAAAATATTGTCCGAACCCTTAGTATTTCTCTTCGACAAATACTTTAACACATTGTGAACCACTTTTCTTTCACGACTGAAAAGATTTTAGCAATTTAATTCACAAAATGAATTGCGCACATTTAAAATAAAGTTTGTTTACACTTTGACAGCAATAGACTGACATGCAAGGTGACATGACAATGAAGTTTTCAGTTATTGTTGCCATTAAAAGAAATTAGTACCATTAGTTTTCCGCAACATGGCGAGGGTTTTTATGTTCCTGGTCAGGCTATAAATATAAATGCACTCGCATAGCATTGCCAGAATCTTAATATGATAATCACAATGATAAAATCGTTTTTTTTTTGTGTTGTACTTTCGCAAAAACGCTATTTCTCAGTTCTTTTATCATAAGATTCAGTTATCACTATACCATCTTATACCCACCCCTTTATAAACATTAAATCCCAACTAATATTATAAATGCGAAAGTAACTCTGTCTGTCTGTCTGTCTGTCTGTCTGTTACGCTTTCCCGCTTAAACCTCGCAACCGATTTTGATGAAATTTGGCATAGAGATAGTTTGAGTCCCGGGAAAGAACATAGGATAGTTTTTATCCCGGTTTTTGAAACAGGGACGCGCGCGATAAAGTTTTTCTGTGACAGACAAAATTCCACGCGGGCGAAGCCGCGGGCGGAAAGCTAGTTATTCATACTCCTTGAATTGTCATCAAATAATAAAAATAAGTAATACAAAAGTTGTATAAATAAATTTTTGACCTCAGAACATTTCCGACTGAAAAATAACAGTACTTATTTTAGGAACTATCAACACTACAAATTAATAACAATTAGGGTGGCACTTGGGAATCTGCTTTTTTTCTATTAACTAAGTACTCAGTACTCCTAGAGATAGCCCCTAAATAAACATTTTATTTATAATTAGTTTATCATTGCTCAGGTAAATGTTTCTCAATAAATGATTTTATCAAATTCATGCCTCGCTTGTTGAGTGAATGTCCGAGTTTCTCCATAATGTGAAACTCTCCACTGACACCAAGTTCCTTAATATTATCGAAAGTTGCTTGGCCCCATTCTAAGTACACTAGATCATCACTATTTCCATGTATTTGTAGTAGAGGTGGCACTGAAATTATACAAAAAAAATAATTATTACAATCTTTGAAAGATTATTAAATAGAGCAAAGAGAATAAATAAATTATTATTTCACAAAAATTCGTCTAATGCTTTAATTTATTAAAATTTTACTTACAATTACCACCAGGAGATTTCTTCAGGTCTTCATAGACAATTGAGTTTTTATTAAGAAATGAGCTAAATACAAATACTCCTGCTAAATTACGATCCCATCGGTATCCAGTGTGGAATGATAATGTACCTCCCATTGAAAAGCCACCTAAAAAAATAAATATTAAATATACAAAACAAGTAAAAAATGGTTGCTTTGATTCTAGTTATTGTTTTAAGTTATTCAAATATTACTCACCAACTATAATTCTATTGCTAGGTATACCAGCTTCATTTTCTTTACGGATTAAATTTTTAACCTCCGTTTCTATACTTGCTATTGAGTTTAATTTTTCTGGTACATCTGGTGTTATGTAAGCACGGTCAAACCAAACGTTGCTCATCTGGCCTCCCGCAGGCGTGTAGGGCTGCAAGGGAGCCGTAGGGTACAGCACATTTATATGAGGGAAGGAAAAATTCTTCACCATCAGTCTTACCCACTCCATTATATCACCACCTGATGAACCTGTAAGTTATTAATATTTATGTTAGGATACTATGGCTTCAATAATATGGTCAGCATGCATAGTTTATACATTTATTCTACTTTAAGCCAAGTTTCAATAATTGTTTTTTTTTCATCTTTACAAACATGCATAACATCCCATCTCTTTTTAAAACCTAGCCCATTAGATAAGGACAAGGCCCCTGATAAGACAAGGTCATCTTGCCTCTTTCTTAAGTAGTTTACATAACAGTTACTTTGTCTAAAAATAATAACCTTAAAAAATTATGATTAACAGCTTACCTGATCCATGGAAGAATATAACGGTTGCCGTATGTTTTACGCCGGTATGTTTAGTTAAATGTAAAGCTCCCAGTTTCGACATTGTAACTCACAACTGCTGCTCACAATACTTTTGTACTTTCTTAGCCTGTTCTGTGATTTTAAGCTGACCAATACATCTAAAATTCTCGCCAAATATCTAAAAAATCACAGTTTCAATTTTTATTGAAACATACACCACCCGTAATCACCCCGTTTCAAACCAGTGTTGTTCCTGACAAATTTAGGGTTGCCGTATTCTAATTCTAAAATTGCCGGATTTTTAAGGAAAACTAAGAAAATTGCCGTATTGTATAAAATCTTTATTTGGAAAGTTTAAATTTAAAAAAAAATACAAGTGATGTATTATGTACTATGCGTATACTACTTTTAAACTTACTTTTTTTATTCTTCACTTTTTAAGGTTTTGAATAATTTAGTCCAAGAACCTACCCGAACAAAAGTGAAGAATCTACCAAAATGAGAAAATAACGATTTTAGACATTAAAATCTCAGAGATAAGGTTGCATTTTTGGCGTTTCTTTTCGTGGCGCTTCTACTTCATCTATGGTTTACAAGTTTTTTCGTTCCATTAGACGAAATATTTATTTTTTGTTTACTAAAAACTCATGAAAAACTCATAAAACTCTACTTTACTCAATTGCCGTATATTTTGATACGGTAATCAAAGTGCTGCCGTATACCGTATTTATGGTGCCTAAGATGCCTGAATGCCGTATATTACGGCAATTGCCGTATCAAGAACAACACTGTTTCAAAGATTTGTTTTGCATTTTTTTTCTTTTTTTTCTTTAATTTTAACGTCAAAAACAGACAATTTAATCTGTCACGTTTATAGGGCGGGCGTTTGGCGGATAATACCGCTAGCTAGCGCTATTAAGCACGGCGCGTCTTTTAAGCGGTAAATGCTGTTAAAAAAATGTACTTTATGGGAGAACTACGCGTTAAAGAACCGTTAGAAGCACTTTTGAAGTTTAGCAAAGGTGTCCTCACCGAAAACATGCTAAAGTTTCGGCGGTTGGCATGGCGATCGCCATTTTGCTAACAATTTCTAACAAGCGCTATTTTCGGCCAAACGCAGCCAAAGACATCAATCTAATGAAGCGACTATCAAACGTAGTATAGTTCCAAAATACTGAGCCCCGATTACGGTAACTTTTAACGTCTACAATCCAGACGCGTTTCTGATTCTGCAATACGATTGGTCAAAACAGCTGACGTACGCTGTTGAACGACCAATCGTATCGCAGAATCGAGAAGCGTGTCTGGATTGTTGACGTTAAAAATTACCGTAATCGGGGCTCTGGACTGTCCTGTCGATGACATTGACAGTGGGGCGCCACCGTCAATACCGGATCGCTGGTTCAGATTTTTGCCATGTTGGAAACCATATAGTTGAACGATGGTAGCGCCCCCCTGTCATTGAGTTTGGCGGGACAGTTCAGCGTGGGTCATCATTACTTTTCAACCGACTTCAAAAAAGGAGGAGGTTCTCAATTCGACCCGTATGTTTTTTTTTTTTTCTATGTTTGTTACGCGATAACTCCGCAAGTATCAATCATGGTATACCTACATAAATATTAATAATTCGTCCTAATAAATAAGTAGGTAATTAGTAATTATTTTTCGACGTTTTAGTGTAGGTTTTTTGGAGTCGGTTTTATTTTTTTTTATAAAATTTTTGTACCACTAATGATGTGAATAATAAAAGAATTTTAATCTGTAACGTTTAATATAGAGGAGTGTAAATTCACATAAGAATACTAAAAACAATGACTTGTTTGTGTACCATATAAAAAACAACGCAGCAATTTTGGTTTTTTCTTTTCTTCAAACCGAGGGCTACTTTTACTGCTACATGATTTGCTACTTTTGTCATCAAAAATGTCAGTATCTAGCAAAGCTATTGACTTGTTTAGTAAAATTGTTTCCTGTTCCTCATAACTTAAACGCTTAGGTTCAACAGGTGGTTCCCAAATAAATTTGTGTTGATTTTCTATATTATCTTTTAGACGTTGGTTATGAGTATCCAATATAGTTTCGATTCCACCTCCTACATTATATTGATTAGGAGGCGGATTATCATTCTTAGTTGGTGGAAATCGACAAGACTTAAATAGCGGACCATGAGGGACGGCAGGGTAACATTTTGGTTTTTCTAAGCAATAATAGCATGGCCCAGGAGTTTTCACTCTCCCAAGAACCGGCATCCAATCATACCAGGGCTCGAATCGACCTTCTGACGAAAAGAAAGGTGCAAAATACTGCAATCGCCGGGACCGATTTATTTTTATTCGCTGTTGTGGTAAATCAGCAGGGCTTGGTTCATTTAAAGCTTTTTCTAATGGTTTCATTCTGATTGTTTTTGATTTAAACTCCCATGTAGGAGATGGACATACCGCTTTGTTTACATTTTCATCATCCTTTTTTTCGGGTTCATCTTCAGCGATGACTGCTTCTTCATCTTCTTCTATCACGGGGTTTTCTTTAAACCTTACAGATGAAGACCCAAAGGCAGCTGTAGGACAATGCGTAAAATGACATGGAGTATAAACAGGGTTGTAAGTGGCAGGGCTCGGGCCCTCTTCACGCCTCGGCTTAAATCTTTGTGCTTTAATTCCAAAAAATGATGGTTCTGGTAATTTAGCATGACAAGGTACATTTGGTGGTTCTGGTAGCTCAAAAGCTCGCTTGACCCAATGATCTGCAGGCCCTGGACGTTGTTCTATTGTGGAAATGGTAAACCTTTTCGCTTTTGGGCCTAAATACTGCATTTCATTTCCTCGAGGTAACATAGGGCTATATGTAGCTGGTCCTGGGCGACCTTCGTTGAGGTCTCTTTGCTGAACCATTTCAATAAAACGGAGTTGTTTAGAATGTTGCCGTCTGTATGATCGGAACCTTTCAGCACAAATTTCAAAATCTGTCGGTTGCTTTACATAAAAATAGTCTGCTGGTCCCGGTCCGCTACCAAACGATTGAGTTGACCGCTTTGATGTCCGTTGACTCCATTTACATCCGTGATAAAAAGCAGTTGACTCGTGAACTGTAGCATCATAAAATGGAGGGCTTTCGTCATCCAATTCGTCTAACAATCTTTTTTGTGATCCATCAGAACGTATATCAAAACCATGATCTCTTTTGGATGGACTTGATAATCCTTCTCCTAAGATTGATTTAGGTGTAGGTCCTTTGAAAATACGTTTACGCACCTTTCCTTGGCATATTACTTCCGGTTCTTCTTTTTCTTCTCCTGTTGGACATTCACAAGAACTTTGAATTCCACATCGACAAAGTAGTGCTTCCAAATCTTCTTTACTAAATGCTTCATATGGAAACCGTGGACGATTGGATTTCAGCGATGTGATATTAGGTATTTTAGCAGGTATAACAGAATCGTAGATAGCATGAGTCCATATTTGACCACCAGGTTGTGTTTTTCGAGGAGTGCGAGAAAGAAATGGTACTTTATTAGCCCGTACCTTACGATCGTCTCCAGCTTGGTATGCTCCTGGTTCTAATAGTCTGTAGGATTTTTGTGGAGGGGGAAATCTGTCATCAAGGTTGTAGGCCATTATTAGAAATTAAAGAATGATTTATTCATTTAGATACACAAATTCTTCTAAAAACCTTGTAAAATAAAATTTATAAAATTATGTCATTGATCTAAATAAGCGTCAATGGGTGACAACAACAAGACAAGACAGACATGCATGACTACATTTCATAATGACGAACAACGAGAATTAAGCAAGTAGGTAGTATGAACTTATTATATTATAAAATAGGATTAATATTATAGNTTCAACTACCTATTTTAAAGTTTTTTGTCACTTTCTAAGTGTTGAATTTTATGGAATTGGGAAAGAAGAAGTACCGAGTTTGAAGCGTTCATGAGCAGACATTGCAGTTGAATATTCAAGTTCTGAATTTGATTATTGATGAATAATAAAATAAATCCTACTAGCTCGATTGATGGTTTCATTTAATTTATTTAAACCAGGTTACCTTTAATAATATTTTTCGTTAATTTATGAAAATTGTTAATCGTACTAACTATTCTAATTTCGTCGTATCAATAAAATGCAGTTTCAGCACGTATTCCGTCTATTCTTCCTCAAAAGACATCAATAATAAAAAAGCGAACATCGAAAGTTAATAGACAATAAAAAAACAAAGCGTAAAAAAGTATACATATTTATCAAAAAAGTGTCCAGTCGTGGACATCAATATCAAATTAGCCCGTAATCCTGAATCCTGATACATAAATTTAGCCTATTATTTTAACACAGGTACGACTGTACTCAGTGTTGCACTATCAAATGCAATTGAAGCGCCTCTATGCCAGGGTTTTTATGTTCCTGGTCAGGCTATAGTACCATTAGTTTTCCGCAACATGGCGAGGGTTTTTATGTTCCTGGTCAGGCTTTATTTGGGTATAGGACATGAGGAAGACAAAATAAAACGAGTGTTGAGGTCATCAATACAAGCGAAAATTTATATTTTTTTGTGTTGATGGCCTCAACTTTCGTCGCGCGATCACAGAGAGCAGAGATCATTAAGAAAGAATAGTTTTATAATATTTTGTTTTTATTTTATATGGTGACCTTGCCCGCGGACTGGCTACACTGCTCTATTTGGTATTATCTTACTCTCTGGCAGTCTGGCACGCTGACCTTCCTTTATTGTTGGCAAAAATCCATACACCCAATCGTAACAAGAAGAAATTCGAAGAAAAAAAATAAGAAAAATGTAAAGTGTCAAAAATTAGATTCGTTTTTGCCGATTACAAATTAATAAAATTAATTAGATTTTCGTCTAAATATTCTAAAGTTCCATGTTTATTGATTTTCTTAAGGCTTTAGTACACATAAATTGAATACAATGTCCATAAACCACGTGCAGTTTGAAATGATAACATCATGTGAGCTGTGAGCACAGTGCGTCCTAAATAATTTCTACGCGTCGACCATGTAATAAAAGTATTGCAGTTATTTATAATGATGGGTATCACCCATGTCTATATTTTTGTGATCATCACAATTAGAGCTTTGTCTGTACATGGTGGTGAAAATATTGACGATGTTGATGCGTCGTGTAACGCCACGGAAGCCGCTCGAGTCGAATATGAATACAATACCGATGTAGTCAACAGTGAGCACATAATAACGTTCAAAGGTTATTTCTTCAGAGCAACCCGAAATAATTATGTTGCTGCGGCTTTGAAGAACGCTGGGGTAAGAATGCTTTATTCCTATTTCTCAACTGAATGGTAGGCAAAATCAAAAGTTAACAGGCCTTGTGTTCATATTATGTTAATGAAACACAGACATGATCCACAATCACAGTACATACTTCTGATCTTAAGTATGACGCTGCTGGGAGCTCTTGAGTTTTATGTTCCCATAGCTTATTGAATAGAGATTTCATCTTGCAACTACATTTATTGCAAAAAGCTATGCATTTAAATAAACATTATTTATAATATTTATTCCCTTAGTTGTAATTATCATAATTTTGGTGTTTCCTATTATTTGTTCCTTCAAAAATATTATAAGTTGTTGGCTGTGCATACAAAATATACATATTATAAAATAAAACATAGTATGATGAGCAAAGCAGTAAAAATCACAAAGCAAGATATTAAGCCTTGCGAATACGATGTAAATTAGTATGATATGCTGAAAAGTTTATTTTGCGAGTGCCGAATGTATTTATTTTTAATTTATTTTGTAAACTGTTATCTGTGCTAATGCAATTTTTTATTTTATTTTGATTTAATTTAATCTCTCTTCAATCAAACCATCCCATTATGTTCTCTTATTTCCTAACTTTTAAAATAGTGCACCATTTAATTACAAAATAAATGGAAGTTACGAAGAAATTAATGTATGAATGGAATGAGTTGTGCTTAAGTGGTGGGACCCCCCGAAAGGGACATATTTGCGGTTTTTCACGTTATATCGTGTAAACGACTACAGTATCGAAAAGTGATCTTCATGACGGTTGAAGGGCATTTAATTCTGCATTGAATAATACCAAATTCATATTTTTATAAGTCAGTTAATAAGTCCTTTACGTGGTAAAACCGCAAAACGTCCCCTTTCGGGGGGCCCACCACTTAAGCACAACTCCGCCCAAGTCGAAACCTAGGATAGTCTTAATGGGCATCAATTGAATCCATTAAAACAATAAAATCTTTTGTAGGAATTATTTCTGATTTAAAATCCAATTCTACTGGAGATATCTTTTAATTGCAATGCTCTAGCTTGAGCAACAACTGGTTAACTTAATGAAAATAATTTTTGCTTTTGTTTGTAGGTTTCAAATTGGACAATAATTCAGCGTAACAATCCGGCTAAGGAGTTTCCTAGCGACTTCGACGTCATCGTCTTGGAAGATGAGAGGAGGCGCGCGCTAGACGCCTTGCGGGATCACCCGGCTGTGAAGAGAGTCACCGCTCAAAGGCAGGTCCAGCGGACCATCAAATATGTTCAGGAGGTACGGCTGTTGGTGGAAATAATTGTCCTTGCTGCGCCTTATAATACAGCTAATGTAAATAATTACTTTCACTAAGTTAAAACTCAAATCAAATGATATTGGCATAGTCAAGTAGCTGGCGTACTAGGTAAGTCAAATAATTTAGTAATACACTCGACATCAAATAAATCGCACCTCCCGCGACAAGCATTTTCAAACGTATGCTTCCCCACTTCCCACCAATATTGGTACCATTTAAAAGCCTTGTTCTAACCTTCATTTCATTAAAGGAAAGGTTTTTACCCCAAAAATGTGTCTTTAGAAGGATCCAGAGTCACTTCTTCAAAAAATAGGTAGTTACGCTAGAGCCAACTTTTATGGCTATAAAACTGTTAAGTTGGGATTAATTGCTATCCATCTGTTAAAGAGGACACGTGAGATCATTATTTGGTTTTATAACCATAAAAATTGGTCTAATTGATCCCATAGGTGGGCCCAAAGTGAGGTATTTTTTCAAGTCACATTTATGGTATATGTTAATCATTTATTAAGAAATTAAATGTGTTTTTCTTTAAGGATATTTATTGGGCTTTCAAATAATACCAATATTATTGGGGCACCATGATTGTGTCAGAAGAAAATCGTTAAAGTTCGCGTCGCGGAAGGTGCGGTTTATTTGATGTTGAGTATATAAACACAAAATATATTTCAGTTTTATTGTGACTAGGGTTGCCAGGCGTCCGGCTTTAGCCGGACATGTTTGGCTTTTTAGGGTCTTGTCCGGCCAAATATTGCCATGTCCGGCCTTTCCGGCTTTTATTAGGCGTTTTATTTGGTTGCCGCGCCAGGCGAAAGAAAGTCGAGCCACAGAATCATATGAAGCGCACGAATCAGGATGTTGGTTAGCAACCCATGATGATAGTACTCACTCATGAGAGCTGACACTAATTTAACCCCCCCCCGTCACATGTCCGGCTTTTAGGGTAAAATGTCCGGCCAAATGAAACTCAAAGTCCGGCTTTTGTGATTTTGGACCTGGCAACCCTAATTGTGACTTCATGTTTGTTCTGTGTTTTAATTTTTAAGATATATTCTACATTGTTGTGCCTGAGAATCTATTGCGACATTGCAAGTGCTATTTTGTCTAGGTGGACTGATTGCAGCTTTTTTTAAGTTTGAATAAATTTAAATTCAATTTATTTAATACTCTGCTTGCACTGATTTGCTTCCATGTGAGGCGAGCAGTGGCCTAGCGCGAGGACTTTACAATAATAATACTAATACTAATATTAGTCGTCCCGGCGAACTTCGTACCGCCATTTTTATCTTGTATAAAACTGTGTCACCGTTTTAACCCTGTGCTACCCGCATTTTATTAAATAGGTATGCTAAAAAGTCTTTCCATTTTTATTTATTTATTTTAAACTTATATGCACATAAAACAGTTTACATAAGGCGGACTTAATGCCTTTCAGCATTTTCCTCCAGTCAACCTTAGGGCCAAACTAAAATAAAGTAGGCAGTATAAAATTGATATTAAGTTATTAACTTACATGAAATAAGATCACACAAATAACATATTAGGAATCTTTAGGAATAGATACATACATAGATCCATACTTAATTGTTATACCAGTGCACATATGGAAATAGTTGAAACTAAACCTATTTTTATCGACAAAAAAGAGGTCAAAAAATTTCTGAGTTTTAAAAAAAAAAATATAGATTTTTTTTTCTTGCAAGTACTTATTGTAAAGAAAACGTAATAAGTTCTAAAGTAAGAGGTATATATTACAGGGTGGCCAAAACAGTGAGGTCTAAAAGAAAAATTTAGATTCCTTACATCAAGGTGTACCTAAATCACCCCTATGTATATTATAGGATTGTGCTTAGTTTAGGAGATAGAGTTTATTTTGTGATATTTTAAAATTTTATGACCTAGTAGGCTTTAAACATTTTTATCTTTTTTATGGGTTGACTTTTTTCAGATTTCTTTTTTTCGACAGATTTGTTATGAATTGCAGATGTTTGAAAAAAATAATCACCTTCCTACCTTTGATTCAAGATACAAAAGTTTTGCTAGAAACATTAAAATTATGCTTTTATCAGAACACTATCAAATTTTCAACTTAAAAGTTTAAGTAAAAAAAAGAACTTCCATAGGTCCAAAACTATTTTAAAAACTGCGCCGTTTCCTGAACTTTCATAATAATACAAAAAAAACACGTACTTAATAGGCCACTATTTCCTGTAATCGGTCCACTAAAGTGGTAAGTCGGAGATTTCGTTACATTTTTTTGACTTTCTTAGAGTGAATTAATATTGGGAATCCCCTAAGTTTACATTACGTAGAACAGATTTAAAGCAGTAACTGGACAGAACATGTTTTTATTCTCAACGAGGAAGCTCTTGCCCTTCATAATAGGTGCTATTAAACCGGTCACGTACTAATAAATCCCCCAATAATATAAATTCCTTTGTTTTTGGTGCAAATTTTAGTGTTTCGTAGCAGGTTTTTAAAATTTCTAAAGCTTATTGTATATCATCTAACAATGGATACTTTAGATAATACGTTTTCCTACATTCTGAATTATAATAACTATATCGAAGATGATGTGGTTCGCGCATTTCATGAAAAGTTACTTCGGTGCACATCATTTAGACCGCGTGAGCTAGAATTATTTCAACACCCTGAACTGATTGAACCTGTACCTAAAAATGAGACGCACCTTCAAGTAATTTATGACGGTGACGTGGGATTAGTGGGGCACTGGAGTTGTATTTATTACATTAATGGAATACTGCGTGTGTACGATAGTCTTGTTGGTGTTCTAGGAAAATCGCAAAAAATATATGTAAAAGCCTTGTTTCCGTATCTATCGGAGTCATGTATTCAGTTTCCAAGTGTTCAGCGACAACCGAATACTATTGATTGTGGTTTGTTTGCCATTGCTTTTGCCACCTCTTTAGCTCGGAATATTTATAAATACATATATAAAATTAATATTCATACATAAAAGTACAAGGCAAAATATCGGGAGAGTTTAGGCTCCATTCACCAGGTGTATAAATTGACATAATAAGTTTATTATATTTGCTGCTACGGAACCCTTTGTGCGCGAGCCCGACTCGCACTTGGCCGGTTTTTTTTAGTTAAACTTTTAAGTTGAAAATTTGATAGTGTTCTGATAAAAGCATAATTTTAATGTTTCTATCAAAACTTTTGTATCTTGAATCAAAGATAGGAAGGTGATTATTTTTTTCAAACATCTGCAATTCATAAGAAATCTGTCGAAAAAAAGAAATTTGAAAAAAGTCAACCCAAAAAAAAGATAAAAATGTTTAAAGCCTACTAGGTCATAAAATTTTAAAATATCACAAAATTAACTCTATCTCCTAAACTAAGCACAATCGTATAATATACATGGGGGTGATTTAGGTACACCTTGATGTAAGGAATCTAAATTTTTCTTTTAGACCTCACTGTTTTGGCCACCCTGTATATCATGATAAAATAAAAACAGTAATTGTGCTATAACAGGCAATTCTAACAAAATACATAAAATACTCAAAAAATGGCAAAAAATAATAAAAAAATGATAAATTTTGAGAAAAATCTGCATTTTAATTCGTGTTTTTTTGTTATTTGATAAATTTCTCCAAATAATGTCCATAACATGTGGTTTTTATTACTTTGTGTTATTCTTTATCATATTACCTTTGTAAAACCAAAATTCTCATGTCTCTATCCCTATCACAATGTTTGCAATAAATCTGAAAAAAATCAACCAGGAAAAGAGATAAAAAAAATAAAGCTTACTAGGTTATGACATTATAAAAAGTTACAAAATTAATGATAACTTCTAAACTACGAAAAATCGTAGCACATGTATGGGGTGATTCGGGTAGCCCTACCTCTGGGCTTCGGCTTGACACTACTTTTTGGGACACCCTGAATTGAATTATAGAATTCATTGAAATCATATCGGCCTAGGTTATAGAAAGAAAAACAAAACAAACACTTTCTATTTTGAGAATAAGCAGCTATTTATTATTACAGGACAGGATGTAGACATCCTGCACAGCTTATTTGTTAAGAAAATCGAAGATTAAGCCTTATTCTTAGACTACCACGCGTTTTCGTTAGTAAATCATAACATTAAAATAAGTACATAACATCATCAAAGTAGTGTGGGTGGTTTGTCGTACTCTAAATGAAGAACGTCTATATTAAAGAAAAGTAACGCCAGGTAAATTAAATTGTATTTGTGATTCCACGAAAAACGTTTTCACTTGGATTTATATGAGATTTTTTTCAGTCTGGTAACTTTCTCACAATGAGAGCTATTTATAGTCTGTTAGTTTGGAAATACTATTATACGTTTCACATGTTTTGGTGGGATATGATTTAAGTATAATCGCCGTAAAATCATAAACAAGATTTGACCGATAGACAGTATCAGCGCGGCTGCCGAGCGTTCGCTACGCTCTCTATCTGTGTGGCAGTGTGGTTTTCTTGGAAGCTGGGCTAGAAGCGAGTGTTCGAATGCCACGGGAGACCATTTCACCGCTGGCTCTGGCGATCAGGCTGGGCTAGGCTAGATCAGGGGGAGATCCTTTAATCCCACACCAGTCTCGATCCCCACTCCGCTCAGTTCGCTCGCACCCACACGTATTCCCAGCAACTATGGACGAAAAGTTCATAGATTGCGTAAAAAGGCATCCTTGTCTTTGGAATACTAGAATAAATAAGTATAGGGACTTAGACCTCAAATCAGCAGCTTGGAAAGATGTTGCTGCAAAAACACAGATGAAGAATAGTAAGTTTTTAAACATTTTATTGCATGTTTATGTTTACTATGTACGATGTTGCGATAACCATTATTTTTCATTGCTTGTAACTTATAATATGTCAAGAGCTTATGGTTCCAATTATGATTGAAAATTTTGGGTTTTGCTTCAAGCATTCAGTTGCATAAATCATTATTATTATTCATATCTATGTAACACATGAACACAACAACCTCATAAAATAAAACCGTACTCGCTTTCACTGGCATATTTCGGCGTGTTCGCTTGAACCAAGCGGTGTCTGTCGCGACTCGCTTACAAGCGCGTCAACGAGCGAGGTGAGGTGCGTACCTTGCGCGTTATACGCGCGTCGCGCCTAGATGCGCTTCCAAAAACGAGCTTATACCTACGCGCGTACAAAACGCTAGTTCGTATCCGTTATAAATTCAATATGAAAAATGTGGAATAAACATTAAATTGATTAAACCTCTATGTAATTTAAAATGTAAATTTTGAAAAAGTTTATTATTCATAGGCCAGTAAAATAAAATACAAGAATAGTTCAAATGGGTTTAATTCCTTCAAAAAGTACCTATTAGGCATTTTTGCGGTTATACGATTATATTTTGTAAAGGACTTACAGTATCGAAAATTGATCTTCATACAAAATACAAATACACAATATTCATAGACACAAGTCACTAATCACAAAGCTTTGGATCTGTTTGTGTGAAAAGCAAAACCTAATATGCTTGCTAGTTATAAAAATCTGGAACCACATTATCATTACTGATTACATAACTACTTTTAATTACCATATTATTTTTGATAGGTTATGCAGCATAACGCTACAATAAATGTTTTCTTTTTTACAGGTGCAGCAGCAAAAAATAAGTGGAAATACTTAAGAGATGTGTACCGCGAGACAATAAAAAATTTTTTCAAGAATAAAAACACAATCAGCGACCATATGAAGACATGGAAATATACCGATCAAATGAGTTTTTTGCTTCCACACATGAGTGTTTCATCACCTCCAGATTCCTCGCTAGTTCAGGAGGATGCAGCTAATACAGAACCAGAGAGGACACCACTATTAAAAATGGAAACCTTTGAAATAATTAATCCTACAGAGCCTCCATTATTAATGGAGAATAATCCAGAACTAACAACTGTACAGAGGGACGAGTTACTTACAGAAGTATTTACATCAAGTGATCCGTTGAAAGTTTTTATGGATTCAATGTACCTAAGCATGAGGAGAATGCCAGAGTATAGTCAAGGAGAAATTAAAAAAAAAATATTAAACTGGGTAGTGAAAACTGAAGATGCTCTTCCCAGAGGGATGAAGGACATTCCTGTACAGAAGGACAAGTTACATACAGAAGCAATTAGAAGTGACCCTTTGAAAGTTTTTATGGATTCAATGTACCTAAGCATAAGGCGAATGCCAAAGTATAGTCAAGGAGAATTAAAAATAATGCTGTTAAATTGGGTACAGAATACTGAAGATTCTGTTTCCAGGAATAATTTAACGATTCCTGCAACGAACCAGACAGATTATTCTAATATACAGTTTGCTGAAATTCCTGGACCCAGCGGTACAGCCCATGTGCAGAAAATTGTATATGAAGATAAAAGTAATTCAGAGCTTTTGGAAATCGTTATAAGCGATGATAGTGATGATTAATAAGTTTAGTTATTGCTCTATTTTAATTTATTGTTGTTAATTTAAGGAAAACTTACATTCGCGTTAAGGCAAATAATGATCTCTTGTAATATAATTTAGTTCAAATCAACCTGGTTACTTGGAAAGTATTCCAGGAGTTTGAAAATTTGTGATTGTGTGTAGATTTCGATGTGTTCTTCCCGAATTTTAACTTTGTGACAGCGCGCGCACCGCCGTACTTATTGAAAAAATGCCGCCTTATAGAAAGTTTTTGATAATATGTCCCTTCCTATTTCTTTCTCGATAAAATTATTTATACAAAAATAAAGTAGATAAAAGTAGTAGATAAACTGTCACTTAGACATGTATTTTTTATCCCTCGGCATAACTAGACACCCGGCAGCGTTTCCAGTCAAGTGCAAAGACAAAAGAACTGGCAACGTAGCCGCCGCGTGTAATATACAGAAACCATTACGAGCTACTTTTGACCCCCTCACAACTCAAAACCTATTTAATATTTAGTTTAAAATTAATTTAATTTACCAGTTTGGCCATTCAACGCGGAAATGCAGCCAGTATTCTGGGCGTCATGTCGCAATGTTTGCTCAGCGATTTAGGACATATTTTATTTGTAAATATTTAGTCTATGTACTAATTCATAAATATGTAATATATTGCAATGACAATAAGATTTTATGTAACAAAAAATACCCGTTTTACTAAAAAAATTATAATACTGTATTGATTGTCTTTACTGTGATAAACACTTGTGAATATGTTCGATGCATTGTATTGTATACTGTAGCAGTGGTCGTACTGTCTTGTTTTGAGTGAGTTGGACACAAAAAGGCAAACCGATGATCGCGTTTGGTATTTATAAGTATTATGAATTAGAAATGTAATGTAATATAGAATGTAACGGAATGTAATGTAATGGTTCGGCCAAACAGCGATGGCGATCGGACTTAAATGCATTGATCGCCATCGCTGCACGCCGGCTGATCGCCTCGAAGATAAAAGTAATTCAGAGCTTTTGGAAATCGTTATAAGCGATGATAGTGATGATTAATAAGTGTAGTTATTGCTCTAATTTAATTTATTGTTGTTAATTTAAGGAAAACTTACATTCGCGTTAAGGCAAATAATGATCTCTTGTAATAGTCCAATAATTTAGTTTAAATCAACCTGGTTACTTGGAAAGTATTCCAGGAGTTTTGAAAATTTGTGATTGTGTGTAGATTTCGATGTGTTCTTCCTGAATTTTAACTTTGACTGTGTCTGGGCATCATGTCGCATTGTTTGCTCAGCGATTTAGGACATATTTTATTTGTAAATATTTAGTCTATGTACTTATTCATAAATATGTAATATATTACAATAACAATAAGATTTTATGTAATAATAAATACCCGTTTTACTAAAAAAATAATAATACTGTATCAATTGTCTTTACAGTGACAAATACTTGTGAATATGTTCGATGCATTGTATTGTTATATTGTTGATATTCGATTTATTAATACTGTATTGATTGTCTTTACTGTGACAAACACGTCTTGTGAATATGTTCGATGCATTGTATTGTTATGTTGTTGATATTCGATTTATTAATACTGTATTGGTTGTCTTTACTGTGACAAACACTTGTGAATATGTTCGATGCATTGTATTGTTATGTTGTTGATATTCGATTTATTAATACTGTATTGATTGTCTTTACTGTGACAAACACTTGTGAATATGTTCGATGCATTGTATTGTTATATTGTTGATATTCGATTTATTAATACTGTATTGGTTGTCTTTACTGTGACAAACACTTGTGAATATGTTCGATGCATTGTATTGTATACTGTAGCAGTGGTCGTACTGTCTTGTTTTGAGTGAGTTGTGCCGGTTGTGCATATTGTGGTAGTTACTCTTGAAATGTTGGACACAAAAAGGCAAACCGATAATCGCGTTTGGTATTTATAAGTATTATGAATTAGAAATGTAATGTAATATGGAATGTATTGATTAAGGTTCGGCCAAACAGCGATGGCGACCAGACTTAAATGCATTGATCGCCATCGTTGCACGCCGGCTGATCGCGGCTGATCGCGTGTGATCGCGTTGGTTTGGCCGAACCTTTAATGTAATGCAATGATGTAATGTGTTAATGTCATGTAATGATGTATTGTATTAATAATGTATTAACGATCGAGCGGATTCCTCTCAACACAGTTATTTTTTACAAACTTAAAGAGAGCATTTCCCCAACAAATGTTATTTAATTTTTTGTATTTAAAATTTTTATAGTGAAATGTTTACGCTGTTGAAAAGCCAAAAAAAAAACTCGGAAAGCATTCCAGGTAAAACAAATGACTGGACTACTAGTCATACCTTGTAATTTTAATTGAAATACATATATTAATCGCATCCAAATTTTAGTCTGTTTATTTTATAAAATACCTATCCCTTTTTTCAGAAATGTTCTCGCTGGCATTGTAAATAACTGTTTCAATGTTTTTATAAATCACTCTGCTATACTTTCGAACACAAAATAACACCATTAAAACATTTTAGGTAGGTAGGACAAGCTATATTTGGGATGTATTATGAGCGCACTGGAAAGGGCCTAACTACTGAATAAATGATTCGATTTTCATGTAAGATCTTGTCAAGTCTAGGTAGGTACTAGTTAGGTATAAGCCCTATACTCTGATTTTTAATTCGACGGAATTTTGACATTTCAGAAGTGTTGCCAACATTGAAACATTCAAACTAAAAATGGAGAGCATTTCACAAATTAAAAAATAACTCTTTCTTGAATTTAAGGTTTCACTTGAAAAACTAAGGCTTAAAAATGTAGGTACTGATCGTTTCAAAATGGTTATTTGAATTTTTATTATCATATTTTTGAAGTTACAAAAAATTGAGTAATTATTTTTCTATTACTGGACTCCCTGGCCAATAATTTATAATCCATGGGTTACAAACCTTTTTTATGAAAAACCTTTTGTTAATAAAATCTTAGCTTTATAAAATAATCAATTTAACAAGATGCCAATTTTATAATCCAAGTTGATTATGATACGATAATGATGATTGATGATCAATACACATTTTTGCTTATGATAATATGTTGTTTTACTGAGTTAAAAACACGTTTTTTTTCTATTAAATAGAAAAAAGTACATTTTAGAGATTAAATATAATATTACTCGTAGATCTGGGAATAATGTATAGAATGCACCTAATGCTTCTCTTTTCATAGTAATTGGATGAACCCAATAATTTCTTGATATTTCTTTCCGGTGCAGATATTTTCGTCTTCGATATAAAAGCCACATTGCAATTATTTGTTCACGGTCCATCTTTGAAAGTATGAACGAGACTGTACTCTTGTCGGCTCTCTAGCCGATACTGCCGCCATCAACCGGGACATGTGAAAGCTCATTTGACACCGGGTACCCGACGCCGGTTAGCCGGCAACCGGGACATGTGAAAAGGCCCTCACTGGTTGGGTTTTTTTTATTGGCGGTTAAGCTATAGATCCTGGCTACACAGGAGTTGCAGCGGTGGGAACGCGAGGTGGGAATAGTCCCGTGCCGCCTACAACCTCGCGAACTCACAAACTTGACTTTTTTATAATGTACGAGCATAAAATTCTCGTGTCACAGTCTTTCTGACAAAACTCCTCCGAAACGGATTAACGAATTTTTATACAATTTTGTGTGTATATTCAGTAGGTCTGATATAAAACGTAAACTATTTTTCATACCTCTAGGTGATAAGAGATTTTAGCGCGTACGACGTCACGGGCACATCATAGTATGGATTTCAGCTACATAACTATTTTATCTTTGAAAGGTCGTGACCGTCAGTGAGTCAGGGATGAAATCGATTATTATTCAGATATGCGATTAATGTGCCGTCACGATACGGCTTTTATAAGTGCCGACTTCTTGCTTGGTACACTCAATTGCTATTTCATTATCTATCTTTCGTAGGTGATATTAATTACAAATTATGGACAAACCGTCCGTGCCGTCCGTCCCGTCCGTCCGTGCGATCTATCCCGGAGCTCATTAGTGGGGGATTAAATTTAAAATTAGCAAGCATTAGATAATTCGTGTACGCGGGAGAGTGGAAAACCGAGGAAGGTATTACAGGATCAGCTTACAAGCACTAATTAGGAGAGCTTTGCCCCGAAAATATAATTGTAATAATGATTATTATAATTGTCGGTGTTAGACCAGTCAAGCTAAAAAACGGTAACCTTAGACTGGGAGTTCATCATCATCATCAACAGCCCTTTACAACTGACTGGGAGTTATTACGCTGTAAACTTGCAAAAGCTTTTTTTGGCATTCTAAAAAAAATCTCAACAGTCTCATAAAATCTTGTGTTCGTGTCTTAAGAATTCAGGATGAAATATCACAAAAGCATCTCGCTCTCGCTGTCTGTCTGTTCTATTTGTTCTAGTTTTCTGTCTAGTTTATCTAAGTATCAGTAGTTTATACTATTTAAACATTGTAGAGATTACAACAAGCATAAATTATGATAAAAGTCGGGTACCTATTATGAAGTGATTTTACTTTCTATTCAATAGAACACCAAAGTTTGCAAGTAGGAAAAACGTATTATACCTTTACGTAGACACTTTTTAAGACCAATTTGTAAAAGCATACGCTCGTGCTGCTTTCAAGTTATTTATACTCTGGACAATGTCACCTTCCATTTTCTAAATAAATAGTACTCCCGTTGTTTAACGTTGGTAACCTCACTCTGAACTGGTGAGAAGGTAACCGTAATCGTTCCTATAGTATGTTTACTTGTAGGTTTGTAAGGTTCCGTATGTAATATGACAACGAATTTCAGGACAAGTGTGGACCTGCCGGGTGCGTTTACACGGGCTGGAGGAACCACCGAGCGCGCGATCTCCATTCGCTACGACGACTTCGCGAGGTACGTGCCATTTAAACTTGCCTTTTACGTCAATCCTAAAAAATGAGCTTTTTAAAAACTTTACAGGGTGACTGGAACTGAACCTTCCATAAATATAGACTAGGTATATGCGAATATGATGTGGCACGTTAAACACAGCAAACATTTTCGTCAAACGTTTGAGATAAAGTTGCTTCCTGCCAACTTTTATGCAAAGGTGTAGTTGCGCTCTATTCACGATCCAGCTTCGTTTGAACTGACAGTGTTAGAGTGAAACAGAAAAGATACTGCTTATTAAAACACAAATATTTGTTACTCTTTCCCTGATTAGGAATCGTGCAAGAATATTGAATCACCTACATTTCTCTATTGTTATAATTAAAAATGTCCGATAACAAAGGGATGTTACACCCGTATTATCAGAAAAACGTAAACATTCTGATAACCTATTAACTTTCTTGCATCATGCACACATAATATCATGAAATACCTACTAGTAGTCAGATTTAGTAAAAAGTTCGTGCGAGTTATTTATCATTATGCGAAACTTTTCCTCACATGTAGGTTAACTATGACGTGGGTTTCATTAGAAAATTGATCATATTTAGCTAACTTATTCAGGTAAATATTAATCGCTGGAAATGTTTTGCAACTAGCTAAATATGAGAGCCAATTCGGTATATTTTTTCCAAACATTCGTCGAAGTTCGAGAGGAAAAAGTTTCCCGAAAACACTTTGGATTCGGGAAAACTTATGGTCCTCTTTTTCTGACATAGGATTTCGATGGGTATATTAAAAACAAAGAACGTCTCTCAGGTCAGCTAGTTTTAAATAAACTGTGTATTGGTATCTTTTATTGCTAAATTGACCTGGCGAGTCTAACGAAGCCAGTAGTCCTTTGAATGCATAACAACCTAAGAACAGGCCGGCTACTACAGAAGTACGAAAATATCCGAAGGTGACTTCTCATAAAGATACATCCGGTGAAACGACCCGTGGAAAGATACAGCGAACATTGTAACTATTATTATCACATCTTCTTTGTTGAATTTAGAAATACATAAAATATTTTGCAAGAATAAATAGGCATGATGTATTTTTTATTTTGGTGCATAAAGAATGACCTCTCAAAGCTCCCCGGGGTATCAATATCATTGGACTTATTTGAAAATCGGAATGAAACATAAAAAGTACTCGTATTTAATGCATCGCGTTAGGACTTTTTTCGGCAGCTACTTTTAATGTTGCGGTTAAGTACGAGGGCTGCACTAAAAGTATCGGGAATGGAATATTTCCACTGTTCCAGTCATATTAAAATCTATTTAATTGCAAACTCCAGGGTTTTAAAAATCGTATACCATTTATTTATTTAAAAAAAGATTCTCGGTCGTATCACAAGGTCTTGTCAAACTTGTTTAGTCGTTGAGAAAATGGAATTGACTCGAGAAAATTCAAGAGCGATGATTTATTATGACTTTTGAAGTGGTTTAACACAAAAACAGTGTGTTGACCGGATGATTTCTGCATTTGGTAATGAAGCCCCATCCAAAACCACAATTTATCGCTGGTTTCCTGAATTTCAACGTGGACGTGTCAAGCTCAGTGATGATCCCCGTCAAGGTCGTCCAAAAACTGCAGTCACCTAAGAAAACGTTGATGCTGTGCGTAAGCTGATTGAAGAAGATCGACATGTGATATACCGCGAAATTCAGGCAACTTTAGACATTGGCATGAGTCAAATACAAATAATCTTGCATGAACAATTAGGTGTAAAAAAGTTGTTTTCCCGATGGATACCGCATTCGCTCTGTGAAGAGCAAAAAGCGGCTCGCGTTACTTGGTGCGTCAGAACTCTCGGGAGATTACATGCAGGATCCTCAAATGCTGTATACAACATCGTATCAGGTGACGAATCATGGATATACGCGTACGAACCCGAAACAAAAAACCAGTCACGAGTTTGGGTGTTCGAAAATGAATTAAAGCCAACAAAAATTGTTCGTTCACGGAGTGTTGCAAAAAAAATGGTGGCCACGTTTGTCTCCAAAACCGGCCATGTTGCGACTATTCCTCTTGGGGGACAAAGAACGGTTAATGCAGATTAGTATGCTAGCATTTGTTTGCCACAGGTCGTTTCTGAACTCCGTAAAGAGAACTGCAACCGCCGCATCATCCTCCATCACGACAATGCGAGTTCTCACACCGCGCACTGAACAAAAGAGTTTTTAGAGCAAGAAAACATAGAATTATTAGTCCATCCGCCGTACAGCCCCGACCTAAGCCCTAATGATTTCTATACTTTCCCTAAAATTAAGAATAAATTGCGTGGTCAGAGATTTTCATCACCTGAAGAAGCTGTGGAAGCCTACAAAACGGCCATTTTGGAGACCCAAACTTCCGAATGCAATGGTTGCTTCAATGATTGGTTTCGTGTATGGAAAAATGTGTCAAAGTTCGCGGAGAATACTTTAAAAAGCAATAAATACATTTTTAAATAGTAATGTTGTTTCACTTCCTTGATTCCCGAAATTTTCAGTGCCGCCCTCGTATCAAAACATTTTCTTTAGTTTATATTTAATTCTTACAAGGTATAATAAATATTTTTGTAACAAATTGGTAGGTAAGTAATAAGATAATGAATAAATTGGCGTCATTGCAAGTCAGCCAGCTAATCTAATAACTTGGTGAGCCAAATCAAACCAGAGTTCATTCATACCGGATAATGTGAGAGACGGCGGTAAAATAAGATTGACACGAGCAAAAGGGGAGGCACAGGACGACCAAGTTGACTCTAGCTGGGATCCGTCTTGAGGACATTACAATATTATTTTATCTTCAAATAAAATGGCTTATTGATCAATTACTATATTTTGGTCTATTCACATACTTTGTGTTATTTTTCCTTTAAGATCTATAAATTCATTGATATTTTTATTAGAATGTGATTGAAAATCTTGTCGATGACGTCGCGGCTGCGTGCTGTTAAGACTAATCTTTACGTAGCGTATGGTATCGTTCATGTCCCTTTAGTTTTTTTTATAGATTTTCTCTTGTAGTAGGAAGAACGCGCGTGCTACGAGCATGCTACGAGATTCTCGGCCAGGAAATATTTCATAGTACCATAATGCGAGTTTTATCGAATAAGTAGTTTTTTTTTTTGATATTGAAAAATCTGTTACACGGGGCGTCTTTGAAATTTAAAAAAAAATATCACCGATATTAGAGTATTGCAGATCGACCGGTGTATATTTCTTTTTTTATCAGACCGTTACCATGGAAGCATGTAGATTCGTTACGAAAATTATTCTTTTGTACCGGCGAGATAACCTTGACGTCTCCCAGCTTACCCCATGCCTTGTGCCCTGCACCTTGTCGCTATACAGAACCCGTTAGCTGAATAGAATAGTTTAACTGCGATAATATCGTTGTTATGTTCGTTTGACTGGAACCAGGATCAGGTCTAGACGTCTGATCAGAAGTAATCATTTAATCAATAAACGCTCCCGTATGTCGCGGGGGCAATCGCAGCCGTCGTGAATATGCCCTCCAGCCCGTCTGCTTCGTATTTCATTGTGTTATGTACATTTCAAACATTCGTATTGAATAATCCTCTCGAGCGCGACATTTGGATGTTTTTCTCGACGTATCTTTGATGCTAACGAACAACATTGTATGCGTGATGTAGTTATCTTTTATGGAAAATTATTTGTATGCGCGCATCTAATTAATGTTTTTCTTTTTGCGTAACAGAAAAAGAGGTTATTTGGGGAGAGAGCTTTCTAGAAAAAAAAAAATACTGTTTTTTTAGTAATATGCCTAAACCACCCTTCTGTGGCACCAATTAGCGTGTCTGCATAAAATTAAGTAGTTTCCAGGCGGAGTCGTTAAAAACCCTGTCATCGCCTCTTTGCATTAATTAAAAAGTTGTGCAGTTGAAATTTTCCTTTGTATTTAGAACGGCTACACGTCTCGGAAGCTTCTGAGGACGGTGCCGCGTCAGATCACTTCAGTCCTCAAAGCCGATCTGCTCTGGTCCCTCGGCGTAACAGGTGAGTGAATTTTATATCGTCTCTTGTTCTTGAATTCTGGCCCTGAATTCGATGCTTCATGTGGTGGCAGCTTAGAGGGCGGAAATTTTTAACTTATAAGTCATTGTAGACTTCTAGTCTCCAAGTCTGCATTCAGAAATCATCTTCCGTCATGGAAGCTTTGAATTTGATTAAAGTTTTTATTAAGTTAAATAACCTTTTACCTACTTGAATGATTAATACGAGTATACCTTATGAAAAGATTGCCAAATATTTATTTTTAGAGGCTCAAAAGTTATTATTTTATTAAATTTCAATAATATGCTTCCGATCAAAATACTTTATCTCCAACTTATTTCGAATGATGTAATGTACTTTAACCGATTAAATACTTCTTAAGCCTGTCCTGTTTGTAAAAAGTTCAATTTAATCTTGTCACAAGCACTACAATTATGTACTACGATACAATGAAATAAAAGGGGTTACAAATGAAATATGTACATTAAATATCGACTATAGGTTTATGGTAAATCTGTTTATAACAGACGTGGGGGTGGCGGCGCATTAATTAACATCGGGGGGAAATACATCAAAGCCGTCCATTGCGAACGTTTAATACGTTTTCCATAATGCCCATTCCGAGGGTCAGTCGCAGACAGTATAGTTATTAGTGGGCAACAGTAATTCGGAAATCACTTCAGCGCGCATCGAGTCCCTTTATTTATTAACGGGAGGGGGATATTCGTTTGTTTGCCGTGTGCAGGCTCCGGCCGGGAGCTTCAGATCAGTCTGCAGCCGGCGGCCGGGCGAGGTAGTCGCGTCGCGCGGTCATAGGTTATTGATTGTATAGGGTTGTATATGTCGTAGGGGAGGGAATTCGAGTGGCGGTGTTCGACACGGGGCTGGCCCGCCACCACCCGCACTTCGGGCGCGTGCGGGAGCGCACCGACTGGACCGGCGAGCGCACGCTCGACGACGCGCTCGGCCATGGCACCTTCGTCGCCGGGGTCATAGCCTCCAGGGCCGACTGTCTGGGGTTCGCTCCCGACGCGGACCTCCACATTTTCCGCGTTTTCACCGACAATCAGGTAATTTTCACAGTTTATTAATATTTTTATTTCTGTAACTTCAATTTTATAGTTAGAAATATATTATTTCTTTTATAGATTAAATTTTTACTAGATTAAATAGATAATATACATTTTTATAGTTGCTATTTGTAAGTTATAGTTAAGTATAATTTTAAGTTTTTTATTTTATATTATAATAGGACTCGTAATTTCTTTAATCTTGTATTGGCAGGGCTTCTTCAGATTTCTTTAAGTTAAAAATACTTCTCCTAAAATGTTTAGTAGATATTGTAAGGATTTGTGGTCTGCATACAAATTTATATTTAGTTTAAGTGTAATTCGGGCTGATTATTATTAATTTACACTAAGAATATTCTAAAGTATTGATATAGATTTAATGCGCATGTAGATAACTTACATTTAGTACCTTAAGTTTTATGTGACGCACGCGGTTAGTTTCCACAAATAAAATTAAATAAGTGCCTATCAATTACTTGCGTCATTGCAACTTTTTAAGATTTCGCAAGGATGTTTTAGTACCAGTTCTTAAATTTTGACCTCTAAAATACAGGCCTTATTTAAAGATTGTTTTTTTTCTGCTTTTATTAACATTTGTGGTTTTTTGGCAGGTGTCGTACACCTCATGGTTCCTGGACGCTTTCAACTACGCCATCATGCGGAAGATCGACGTTCTCAACCTCAGCATCGGGGGGCCAGACTTCATGGACCACCCGTTCGTCGACAAGGTGTGGGAGCTGAGCGCTAACAAGGTAATTAACATTATTTTATTTATTTATTTAACAGCATTAATCGTTTCGACCAATGCCGTCTACTGCTGAATAAAGGCTCGGAATTTCCACAACGGCGGATCCTGCGCTGCACGCATCTAGGGGTATTCTTAACCAGATCATCAGTGCATCGAGTGGGAGACTATACATTTATTTAGTTAGTATTAGCAGACATTGGCGAGATTCCTGCATCGGCATCCGACGTTGAAGCTGAATGTAATACNTGGTCAGGCTATATCAATTAGTAATTTAAGAAGCAATATTAATATTTAAACTGCAATAAATATATTAAATCTTTTATTAACACAAGCATTAAGTTGCTTACTTTGGGGCTAGCTGGCGCTGTGTGAAATTGTCCAAAGATTTATTTATTATTTATTATTATTAATTATTTTCTCTAAAATATCTTTTCAAATTAGTTAAAATGTTAAATTACAAGAAAACATAAGATTTATTTTGAAATTAATACAAAATTGGTATTATGCATCGGTTTCATAGAATTTATTCAGTTGAATAATATTATAAAAAAATAAGATAGGTATTCTTTTCTTGAGTAATTTTATGCATTTACGTCACTCTTGGTGCAGTTGCATTGTTTTTATTACCGATAACAAATTAAAACGGAGATAGTGAGCATTAACTTTAATTTATTAAAGATAATGCTTATGTATTTACACATTTTGAGACAGGGGCAGTAAAGTCTTGTAATGACGCTTCATTTTCATTTATATTTAAAACTTATTTTTAAAGGGCTTTGTAGAGCATTGTCAATTTAAATTAGCCAAATATTTCGTGTTAGAACATAGCAAATCAAGAAACCAAGACAGGTGGAGTAAACTAGAATCTCCAAAACTAAAGTTCACTTGAAATAATGTCTTCTTCTAATAAAAATTAAACAGCGCCCCCTAGGGCGGCTATAATATAGGGGGCGCTGTTTAATTTTTCATACAAAATTTTTCGATGACACTTTGAATACGCAACGAAACGAACTCGAAAGTTTTTCCTACTAGAGGTACAGAATACGAAATCGAGTTTGACACTTCTGTTGTCTTAGAATTAGTTTTAGACAGCAGTGTCTGAAAGTCAAGCTCTGTGTTAGTTTCAGTGCACCTACCATGAGTTTACGTTAGGTGTGTTCGCTAGCGAGTACGTCAAAAATCTCTAAGAAGATTTTGTTTCTTGAAAGTAGCCGCTAGGGGCGCTGCACAATACGTCATACAATTAAATGTCATTTTTTTACGCAGTCGCTAGCGAACGCACCTAACGTAAACTCATGGTAAGCACACAGTTAGGCTCAGTTAGTGCTTTGCGAGTGAAACTTTGGTTATTTTAACGTCGTATTAACCCTTGCTCTTATTTATAAATTCACTCGAGGGGTACTGTCGCTAAGATCATTGTCCATATTAAAGTAGCTGGGATAACGAACCTATATTGGTAGACGTGATTTTTTTGTTTTAATAAAATGTCCACAACGAACCGTAAAAGATTGTTCGATTAAACGACAACATCAAGCTAATTATGCATTTAATCTAGTTGATATACCAATCTGTAACAAAAATTTGTATGCCAATGTGTCTGTCGTTCAACATTTTACATCTAGGTACGTAAGATGCCAAAGCAGAATTATGCATATGCATGGCCTAGCAGAATTATTCTGTTACATATATGCATGCACCCGAGCCATTGGTTTGAAATCCATAGCATGTGGTTACATTTGGGAACGCAGGCACGTAAGGATTGCCACGCAGCTGTGCGCGTTGTAAGACATATAGCAAAGCGCTTTGTGCGAATATTGGGTTTACTACCGTCTATGTAAAGAGTAGTTAAAGGTTAGAGCAAACTACAAATTACAGAGTTAAAAACTATAGACATGCAGCAAGATATAAATTGACTTTTTTCTTTTATTTTCATCTACTACTTTAAGGGCTTTTAATTAATTTCTCTTTTGAACTTCGCTACTCGAATACAGTCTTTTAATTTAATAATGGCGATGTTATGCTCACGAATGTTTTTCTTTATTTTATTTCAATAGGTTTTTTGTGTATTTGCGGTTTGATTGTTTTAAAAGACCAAATAACTGAAACTTGTGTTTTTTTACTTTCTCCATGCTTATAAAATTTAAAAAATTGCACTGGGTACTTGAAATTTAAAAAAATATAACATTTTAAACCTCCTTTTACCGTGGCACCATTTATTCCGACATACATAAGGCACTAATAAAGTTGTGAGCCTTGACGACATATGTCTAGTTAGACGACATTTGATACTTACTTATCCATTATCGAATAAATAAATCGATAGGTCAAATTAATAAATAAGCAATGGGTTAGTAAGTCATTATCGAATGCCAGTATAGAAAAAAATATTGAAAAGTTTAACATTTTTGACTATAACCTTATTCAAAACTTTCTATCATTTGAACACGTTTTAATTGGAAATTATCTGGACCACAAAAACATGGAATTGACTTACGAAAATTTCCGCGCAAAGATTTATTATGACTTTCGATGTGGATAATAATCAATACGAAACTGAAGCGGTCAGCTAAATTTAACTTTTGGTGTTAGAGATCTATCCTTTATCATTGTAAAATGTTAGTTTAACAAGTATAATAATGTATGTTGTTGGCTCACCAGCGAACTTTGTGAAGAAAACATTGATATTATCAGAAAAATGGAAGAGAAACCTCGTCATGTGACATATCTTAGGATTGAGACAACCCTAATAGTCCGAGAGGGCACCGTAAGAAACTCTACGTCATTTAATACTAGATAAGCTCCATGGCACACGTTCAGAAAAGTTGTGCTAAGCTTGGAAAAAATAATTATTGAATTCCGATTTGGCCGAAAGTACAACCGACACAGACCGCACAAGTATTAGTAATGCACTGCGCTAATAAAATTGAACAGATCGGACGCTGTTTAGACAACGGAACACAAAACTTTGACTTACAACTTTGTTATAAAAATAAATAAATAAAATAAATAAATATTTAATGAATCTTTAACACTCGACTTCTAGTCCCGATATCAGCCGACTCTGTTACTTACCTTTATCTGAACTGAAAGATGAGAAAATATCGTTAACTATTTGCAAGAAACTTAGATTAGCCTGTCCTATCTTAGTAGAATAAATGGTGCTTCGGTTATTTTGTCTAGAGCAGGGCTTACCAAACTGCGACGCCCTGGGGCTTTCCCAAAATGACTACTTCTACTAGGATTCTTTTTAGCAATCTGGGTATTACATATTCCTCCAAGAAACTTATCTACCCGGTATTGTCTCCTTTCAAGTTAAATTTCTTCGTAGGTGATAATCGTCTCTGCGATCGGTAACGACGGGCCTCTGTACGGGACGCTCAACAACCCGGCCGACCAGATGGACGTCATCGGCGTAGGAGGCATCGGCTTCGACGATCGCATTGCCAAGTTCTCCTCGAGGGGTATGACGACCTGGGAACTGCCTCACGTAAGTCTTCTTGAAATTTTTCGAAGGCAGTAGTAGGTACTTTTTATTATAGCGACATTATCTGCGAGAAGCATGAAGGAAGGCATAATTAGGTTCCAATGAAGTCTACGCTCCACCCAGCTCTTAAGCTCGAAATCTTTCAGCTCGAGCTGCAAAATCGTTTTGAATGCCTGGGAGATTGCGAATGTGTTGACGGAAATTGTCCAATCGAGCAGACTCGGCATAATATTAACTTCGTAAATATCAAAATTTGTTTATCGGCGGCGGCGGCGGCGGCGCGTCTATCTAATAATCACAAATCATGTTTCCACCGCCTTGGTTCCCAGCCCCAGGTCATATTCTTATTGGTTGCGAAGACGGTATTATTTTAAATCATTCAAAAGACACGAGAAACTGGAAGAGTCAGGCTCTCCGCGGATATTGTACTGTACACGTTGACAACCAATTATAATCATAATTATGCTACTGAATTATCCCGCCCACCAGAGAGCCTATTTATATTCCGCCCACAAAATTGGCGAAAGATTTACATTGATTCTACACGTGGTCTTATTCCTTCACAGTAGATACGGTTAAACCAACATGCTCTGCCCTGTAGGATCAGCAAAATATCCTAAGCAGTAAATGTGAGTAGCACTAGCTAATAGGTAATTAAGTTGTCAGATCCACAACTTTATTGCGAACGTCAAAGGCACAAAGTAAAGGCTAGGCTACACGTATTAAGTTGTTAAGTAGGTAACTAAATTTCAAGTGATTGAATTGCATGAAAACATGTTGCAAGTTGCAACTTGCTATAAAATTCTGCTGTTACACGCAATTTATTTATAAATTACTTAAAATGTAGTTACCTACTTACAAACTTAATACGTGTTAATCAGCCTTAAGTGACTGCCTCTTCCAGTTAAGGCCTTGTTTGTCCGGCTCTTTGACGGAATATTAACCGGATATTGGCTCGCAGGGTTACGGGCGCATGAAGCCGGATATCGTGACCTACGGCAGCGGCGTACGCGGGTCCAGCGTTACCGGTGGATGCAGGTCGTTAAGTGGTAAGTCGTTTTAGTTCCGTTTCATTACTGCAGTGGTTTTTAACCTTTAATGTCATGAGGGACCATTTTACCAAATGACATTGGGAACTTTTTGCCCCACTTTTCGAAAAGTAGCGGACACAAACGAAACCTATCACAGATGATACATACTAATATCCAATGAATTTCCGTGCATTTTTTTTTCTCTCTTATATGGGAATATTGAGAAAATGAAGTTTTAATATTTTATTTTATTTTACATTTAGGTAACACTAGCGGCCGCCCGCGACTTCGTACGCGTGAATCCCGTTTTTCCCGCTAATTCCCGTTCCCGTGGGAATTTCGGGAATTCCTTTCTTAGTGCACCTCTACGGTACCTAAGCTACGTCCCTTCCAAATTTCAAGTGCCTACGTTTAGCCGTTTAGGCTATGCGTTGATCTGTCAGTCAGTCAGTCAGTTTCTCCTTTTATATATTTAGATTTTTGACGACCTCGGTGGCGGAGAGGAGCACACACCGGTTTTCAAGGTGTGCCGGGCCAATCCNGAAAAAGACTATAGGGACCACCTCATAGTCGGTCAAAACCAGTTTGACTGCAAAAATCAGTTAAAAGTGGTTTTAACCAAGGTGTACAAGTGCACTTCGTGGACCACTTGGAATGTCTTCAGGGACCACCAGTGGTCCGCGGACCACCGATTAAGAACCACTGCATTACAGGTTGATTCTGCATACGTATAAGAATTTGATTCTAGCATAAGATTATATTCTTCTCATGTCTCTGTCTGCAGTTGTTTTGCTGCCAATAAAAATATCACAATAGACATTGAGTAACACATTTTTAGATGGGGTTTCTAGTAATTCAATATTCTATCAGCTGGCTATATTCCTTATTCGTTGTATTTGGATTTCAAGAAATTATCTATCTACGTACAATACATTTTATGTTTCTTTTTACCAAAACTTAAATCTTTAAAAGCTCTTTTTTAAAACGTCGTCCTTATTTGTGACAAAAATGTTTTCTCTGAAAAATTTGTTTTGTTGAAATTATTTCGATAGTCTATAAACTTACTTATGAATTAAAATTAAGAAGTAGGTAATTGACTATCGTGTCAATGCCCTTTAGACTGTGGCCGTGGTATAATATTAGGTCGTTTTTAGGGACGTCAGTAGCGTCGCCTGTAGTAGCCGGCGCCATAGCCCTCCTGGCGAGCGGGGTGCCTCGTCAGCACCTCACGCCGGCCGCAGTCAAGCAAGCGCTCTGCATCACCGCGCGCCGCCTGTCAGGCCCCAACATGTTCGAGCAGGGCCACGGCAAGCTGGACCTGATCAGCGCCTACCAGGTCGGTGGTGCTTTAGACTTCTAGTGCATTTAATAGGTACATAGCTTTCCTGGCGAGCGCGGGATGCCGCACCAGCACCTCACGCCGGCCGCTGTGAAACAGGCGCTCTGCATCACACAATTCACACAGCTTCACCTGGCCCCAACATGTTTGAGCAAGGCCACTGCATGCTGGATTTGATCAACCCTGGTGGCACTAGTCTATCTATTGTGGATCTTTAATCATCATTTCAGCCACAGGACGTCCACTGCTGAACATATGCCTCCCTCAATGATTTCCACATCGTACGGTTGGTAGCGGCCTGCATCCAGCGCCTTTCTGCCCTTTACCAGGTTGTCGGTCCACCTTGTGGATGGACGTCCCACGCTGCGTTTTCAGGTACGCGGCCTCCACTCCACAACCTTGCTGCCCCTTCCGCCGTCAGTTCTGCGTACTATGTTCCCTGCCCAGTGATGACATACGGCTCCGAAACGTGGCCTCTCACTATAAGCCTAATAAAGAGATAACCCGGCTATGCTCGGTATTTCTTTACGAAATCGAAGGAGAGAAAAGATCGATGGACAGTTAAATAGAATACTGTTTATTTCACACTACACAAAACTGTCAAATGAATGAAATAAGAATTTGAATCGGCCCATTTAGGCGGTATTTTCGCTGTTGTATTATTTATCTCGCCAGCATACTGAGCTTTGGGGACAGTTCCTCAGGGAGTACGAGCCGCAAGCGAGCCTGAGTCCGCCATACATCGACTTGACGGAGTGCCAGTACATGTGGCCGTACTGCACGCAGCCTCTGTACTTCAGCGCGCAGCCAACCATCGTCAACGTGACCGTCATCAACGGGCTGGGCGTCTCTGGACACGTGGTAAGTCACTTCCCTCAGTCTTTACAGCTCCCACAGAAATGATAGTGTATGTGGCCGTACTGTACGCAATCGCTCTACTTTAGTGCGCAGCCAAACTTCGTCAACGTGACCGTCAGCAACTGTCAAGGTGTCTCTGGACACGTGGTAAGTCACTTCCCTCATTCTTAGTCCAATATAGTTGCACAAAGCATTAAAGTATACCTTTCAAAATGTCATCAATGTTGAATAGCTGTAAATAGCCAATTTTTTCCACCAGGCAGCAAGTGGTGTCATGGAAAAAATTCACACAGTTGTCATGTAGTTTACGTCTCTATTATTTACGTACATTGCAGGTACGTAATGAGCGGCATTACTTTAAATATAAGGAAGTAAATTATATGTAGGTACCTACCTTTAAATTATGTGTTTATACAACCCATTACGAATGTTAATTACAAATTCTGGACATATCCGATGGCCTCAAAGGCTTGGGGCGATTTCCAATTAGTACATCCACCTGACAATCACAGCAGTAAATTAATATCGGTTATTGATATGCCGTAGACAGACAAAGCATAGCTATCATATCAAGTTAAGCCAAATCCGCTGGAGCTTCATCATCACGCTCGACCGAGCACAATCACTATCGAACGTTAATCAATATTGCCATGTTACTGAATAAGATGAATATACTAGAACATAATAGACACTAAGGTTTGAGACGTTTAATGGATGATAGATTCTGATAATTCATAATTTACCTTAAATGCGTAAATTACTGAGCAGATTCCAAATTGATTTACTAAAATAAGTTATTTGAAATTTAGTTTGAAGAAGCTTTGAGGTTGTTTGTTGTTTGTAATTTGATATTTATAAACCATTTAAATCTTCGACAAATAAAATACCTATATTTTTAATGTTCTTACGCGGCACGATACGAAAAAGTTGAGTAAACATATTTTATTACAAAATTAAAAATAGGACTTAAGTTTAAAAAAATAAAGAACAAAAAAATTATTTTGTGGTCTGAATAAGAGTTTAAATATGAATCTTTAACATGAAAATATTCATGAATCTTAATGTAAAGTTTTAAACCGAAATCAAAATGAATGACACAATCATAAGGCTGAAAATCATATTCTCGTAAAGCAATTTTCGGACAGTCCACCATTCGTCACTTCATTACGCCGGCGGGTAGGGTTGCTAGGTGTCCGGCTCTTTTTACGGTCGTATCCGGCCAAATATTCTCTCGTCCGGCCTGTCCGAGGTTTGTTAGGCTTTAGATGTGGCTTCAGGGCAAGGCCTTATGTGCTAACTTTTCAAGACAATGGCTAACATTTATTATAACATTACCTAATATTTCTTAGCATCACGTGTTGGGAGGAACCAAAAAAAGCTGAATATCCGGCTATTAGGGTAAAATGTCCGACCAAAATAAGCACCGAGTCCGGCTTTTGTGTTTTTAGACCTGGCAACCCTACCCGCGGGCGGCGTCCAGCGCAATGCAATCAAACTCCCCTCGCTGAAAAAAGGCTTCAGTTTTGTACACTAGGACTAAGCCCCCAGTTTTCGATGCAATAAGTAAGTATTTGCCTACGCGGAGGGTCTGATGGACCCCATGTTGAATAATTAGTCTGCAATGTTTGGGGTGGTGTGTTATGATGAATTATAACGTTATATTATAAATAGCTTCTACCATTGAGATTAAGTTAAGTACGAGTAATAATCGCTCTATCAACATTACCTATGTGTACATAAGTGATTGTTAGTATTTCATGTATCATCATAAAGAAAGTAAAACTGCATGGCATATAGTACCATCTTAAAGAAAGTAAAATTTAAAACGACATCATTCTATGAAGTCTTTCTTTTGCCCAACGTTGTTCTTTAATAATACATGATCAGAATAGAAGACTTTGTAAATTAATAATATGTACTTATACGCATTAATAAATATCAATTATAATATCACAGACGACGAAACACGCGGTGATTTAGCCATGCGTGCGTTTTAATGACGTCCACTATATTGGATAGCGTATACCTCGTAAATTAATATCGAAATGTCCACCCCAGGTCCTTTGATGTACTCCCCGATTTATTTGCGCTTCCTGCGTATGACAGAGGATCAAAGGCGAATTGCAAACATTTGCGTGCATACACAGACATGGTATTAGTCTGCACATGCGGACGTGGGGTGTAACCATAGCTACATTTGATGTCCGAGGACTGACCAGCCACCCCGTCGAAGTAAATGGAATACCGTCCCTATTCATTATTTAGCCCACTAATTGATGAATAAGCTTTACTCGTAGATGTCTGGATGGGGCTTACGGGGAATATCAGTACGTACATTTATTCGATATATGCACAATGCTTTTAGGGAGCCGGTGCAAATGGAATTATTCTGAAACCTATAGATTACTGAGGGTACAGATAAACAAAATCCTGAAATCGATTTCCAGGTGGGGTGGTTAATTAAGTTTAGTGTTAACTATGCAGTTAAATTTTCAATCAAGCGGGTATTTCGATCGAAAATGTTTTGGTGCTCCGAAAGCACGTTAAGCCAGCTATCCTGACCAAGGCACGTAAGACGACTATGGCGAATCATACTTTGTAATTAAACGTACACCTATTGATTTTTTTACAAATATTGATTTTTTCATAAGCTATCTTCAAATCCCAACTTATTTGAAATGTTACGTCCGTATGCTTCCGTACGTGTGCTTGTTACTAAGTTTGACTTGTTTATAAGTCCACGTCTATTTGAACTTTCGAGCTCGAAGCTCTTAAAATGTCAAAGTTTATCATAAAGCTTACGGGATAAAGTTCTTAAAAAGTTTTAGAAGAAGAAACTGAACATAAGTTGAGTTGTGCGCTAGAGAAAAACAGATTGTTAGGAATTTTTTTGAAAAATCCGAATGTAGCATTTATCCAATAGACTCAATCTGAGATGTCTATTGTTAGTCCAGTCAATGAATGCCTTAACGACGGTGTAGAGAGAAATCCGTGGAACACAATTTCTGACCTCGGGACTTTATTTAGCCTAGTTAGGAGGTGAACATAGCAAAAGTCCCCGCCCTTATCCCNTAACTAGACTAAATAAAGTCCCGAGGTCAGAAATTGTGTTCTACAGTTTTCCATCTATAATGCTTTATTGACTGGACTATGTAAACAGCGCTCCATTGTGTTTGCGGACTACATCTGAGTAATTGGTTATTCTTTTGTTTTTAGAAATTGAAAAGTTTTCAGAAATTAAATAAACCCGCAGTGCGCTAGTAACAGAAATAAAAATAAACCTAACAGGAATGCGCCGTTTTTATTTTGATTTGTTGAAATAATACAGTTATGAAAAAGGCATAACGGTTTTTCGTCGTATTTGCATGGCTACCAATTTGCGTGCATTCCGAGTTACTAGAGAGGGGTCCGTCAATCAGGCTTACCAGGGGGAGGGTAGCCCAGGGGGAGAATAGCCCAGGGAGACCTAAACGGTTTTGCGTCCGCTATGAAATTAATCAGAATGGGGAGAGATTTGAAACCTATTATCGATCTATGTCCAGTGCGACACTAATTATGAGTTTAGATCTAAACTGAGATACGGGTTTATTATGTGCAATTTATTATGAAATATTGAATGGTAACAACATGAGTGTACATGAGTCACTACGAGGCTCTTGTTCCTTTACTACTAATCGAAAATAGTGGTAGATCTTTGTGAAGCCTTCAACTTAGTCAGCCAGGTTAAACACATAAAAATATTGTATACCTTTGAAAATTATAAATAACTTGAAAAAATCAAACTGCAAAAGGTGGGAATTGAACCCACGACCATCCGCTTAGTCTAATTCTAGTGTCTAAGTAGCTCAGTTGGAAGAGCAGTTGCCCGGCAAGCGGAAGGTCGTGGGTTCAATTCCCGCCTTAGGCAGTTCTATTTTTTCAAGTTGTTTATAATTTTCAAATTAGTTTGAGATGCAACTCTTAAAATTAAATAACTATTGTATACCAGAATTTCTACAGTCATTTGTAGAACTTTTGATGAAAAGCTCCGAAACGTATGAAAACAAAACTGCAGCTGTCCAAAATCAACAGTAGTTTCAGGCAGAGAGTGCAGCCATGCGACTCGCAATCCACACAAATTGGAAAATGAACAAAGTTCGTTTCGTTATGCAACTACGGTCGCATCCGATAACGAATAATTAACTTTAAAAAAAAATAAAACCGACTTCAAATGCGTGAACACAAAAAAAACTAAAAATTGCGTATAAAAAAGTTCATCCCCAATTTTCCACCCTTGGGGGTGAAATATTTTCTTCAAATTCGCATGAAACCACCCTTTTGATAATACCTATTCAACAAAAAAATAATCGTTCAAATTGATTTATAATCGGCGGAGATATTGCGTATAAAAAAGTTCTTCCCCAATTTTCCACCTTTGGGGGTTGTTTTTTCTATTATTAAATTTAAATGGGACCACCCTTGAGGTATTACCTATACGCCGAAAAAACATTTTTTCAAATCGGTTCATAATTGGCGGAGTTATCGCGTAACAAACATAGAAAAAAAAACATACGGGTCGAATTGAGAACCTCCTCCTTTTTTTTGAAGTCGGTTGAAAAGACCCTTCAATCAAACTATAGGTCTAGCGCTTACATCAGTCAGTACCTGAGGCATGATAGCGGCACGGGAGGGGTGAAATTGATATTATAAGGGGCCGTTCAAGTATTACGTAAGCACCAAATTCTCTGTTTTGCTTATTTTGGATGACATGGGGGGTAGGGGGGTCTAGATGATGATTACGTCATCGTTAGTTATTTCATCATTGCAAACGTTGTGATAGGGATAGAGACATACTATTTTTGGTTTTACGAAGGTAATACGATAGAGATTAACAAAGTAAAAAAAAAACACCGGTTATAGGGGCATTTTTTGGAGAAATTTATTAAATAACCAAAAAACACGAATTTAAAAGCAGTTTTTTTTTATCAAAAAGTATCATTTTTTATTATTTGTTGGCCTTTTTTGTGTATTTTATGTAATTTTTTAGTATCGCCTTTTATTTAGCATTATTACTGTTTTTACTATATCAGGATATACCGCTTAGTTTAAAAGTAATTACGTTTTCTTTACAATAAGTAATTGGAAGAAAAAAAATTCTATAATTTTTTTTTTAAAATATCAAAAAAATTTTGACCTCTTTTTTGTCGATAAAAATAGGTCTAGTTTCATCTATTTTTATATGTACACTTTAACGTGACTCACACTGTATAAAAAACATTTATAACTAAAAATGTTTACGTAAGCATAGGGGAGGGGGTAAGTGCTTTGCTTACTTTTGATGACAACGGGGGCGGGGGGGTAAAAAATGGTAAGAAATCTGCTTACGTAATACTTGAACGGCCCCTAACGTGACAGTATGACGCATACAAATATGAAGTCTTGACCGTCACAAAGACGTTTGACCGTCACAAAAACGTTTGACCGTCCACAAAATCAAATCATGCCTGACTGCACTGACTGAGTTAGACGCTAGACCTATTAGCATGATACTTTTTCTTCCGCGAAGTGGAATATGGATCGGTTACAATGGACGCTGAATATACATTGACATTGCAAACGTACCTACCCGTATCACGGTAATACTATCTATACAGTATTCTAACTCGGCCATATTTTTGAAATAAATGTCAACAGCCCCGCGGTACGTCACGGTATGACAACATGCGATAGGGCTGCCCACCTACAGTACCCATTCTAATTACATCTGTCTACTTAGAATTTCTATCTAGTTTTGTGATTATTTTTTTATTTTATTTAGACAAACAAAATACTTTGTGAATGGAATAGGATAAAAATGCGTGTTGTTTTGTGTTAGTAGATTTAATTTTAAAAAATGTACTTAAATAATTTTGAATCTACTAATCAAAATGAGTAGGTACTTAATGACCTGTTACTTTAATTTCAGGCGGATTAAGTCGTGGGCAAAAGCTGGTTTAATACAATATAATTTTTATTTCAAATCAAACTGACTGAAACTTACCATTTTTGACTGTTAATAACTTGTTTTTGACAAATTTGACCGTAAATGACGGTAGTCAAATTCAATCACCTTAATCATTTTCAACACTAGCTAGGCCATCGACGTCCGTTCGGCACATTCGCGACACCCCTAACCCTAACTTTTGGATTTCGACCGCGTCCCGAGATTTGAAATTCGAAGGAAAGCTCGCGTTTCGTCGGTTTATATGAAGTTATAATACTGTATGATATTATTACCGTGCTGTTTTGCTTATTTTGGATGACATGGGGGGTAGGGGGGTCTAGATGATGATTACGTCATCGTTAGTTATTTCATCATTGCAAACGTTGTGATAGGGATAGAGACATACTATTTTTGGTTTTACGAAGGTAATACGATAGAGATTAACAAAGTAAAAAAAAAACACCGGTTATAGGGGCATTTTTTGGAGAAATTTATTAAATAACCAAAAAACACGAATTTAAAAGCAGTTTTTTTTTATCAAAAAGTATCATTTTTTATTATTTGTTGGCCTTTTTTGTGTATTTTATGTAATTTTTTAGTATCGCCTTTTATTTAGCATTATTACTGTTTTTACTATATCAGGATATACCGCTTAGTTTAAAAGTAATTACGTTTTCTTTACAATAAGTAATTGGAAGAAAAAAAATTCTATAATTTTTTTTTTAAAATATCAAAAAAATTTTGACCTCTTTTTTGTCGATAAAAATAGGTCTAGTTTCATCTATTTTTATATGTACACTTTAACGTGACTCACACTGTATAAAAAACATTTATAACTAAAAATGTTTACGTAAGCATAGGGGAGGGGGTAAGTGCTTTGCTTACTTTTGATGACAACGGGGGCGGGGGGGTAAAAAATGGTAAGAAATCTGCTTACGTAATACTTGAACGGCCCCTAACGTGACAGTATGACGCATACAAATATGAAGTCTTGACCGTCACAAAGACGTTTGACCGTCACAAAAACGTTTGACCGTCCACAAAATCAAATCATGCCTGACTGCACTGACTGAGTTAGACGCTAGACCTATTAGCATGATACTTTTTCTTCCGCGAAGTGGAATATGGATCGGTTACAATGGACGCTGAATATACATTGACATTGCAAACGTACCTACCCGTATCACGGTAATACTATCTATACAGTATTCTAACTCGGCCATATTTTTGAAATAAATGTCAACAGCCCCGCGGTACGTCACGGTATGACAACATGCGATAGGGCTGCCCACCTACAGTACCCATTCTAATTACATCTGTCTACTTAGAATTTCTATCTAGTTTTGTGATTATTTTTTTATTTTATTTAGACAAACAAAATACTTTGTGAATGGAATAGGATAAAAATGCGTGTTGTTTTGTGTTAGTAGATTTAATTTTAAAAAATGTACTTAAATAATTTTGAATCTACTAATCAAAATGAGTAGGTACTTAATGACCTGTTACTTTAATTTCAGGCGGATTAAGTCGTGGGCAAAAGCTGGTTTAATACAATATAATTTTTATTTCAAATCAAACTGACTGAAACTTACCATTTTTGACTGTTAATAACTTGTTTTTGACAAATTTGACCGTAAATGACGGTAGTCAAATTCAATCACCTTAATCATTTTCAACACTAGCTAGGCCATCGACGTCCGTTCGGCACATTCGCGACACCCCTAACCCTAACTTTTGGATTTCGACCGCGTCCCGAGATTTGAAATTCGAAGGAAAGCTCGCGTTTCGTCGGTTTATATGAAGTTATAATACTGTATGATATTATTACCGTGCCCGTATTGTCCTTTTGCAGTTTGATTGCGAATGTGGCTTGTTCAAATCTATTCAGTATTGTGTTTAGTTTTTCTAACTAGGTATTCGCTGTAGAGAACAAATGTAGTTATTGATACAGGGAAACAAGTAACATAAAATCAAGAACTATAATTATTAGGATATTTTGTCGATTTTTATTGTCTCGGACCATACCTAGGAAACTTATGCTGTTTGAGATCATCATCATCTCAGCCATAGGATAGATAGATAGATAGATAAAACGTTTATTTGCATAACAGAAACACACATTACAAACAGAAAGTACCAAAAGTAGGATAAAATAGTACCCTTAGGACAATATGACATGGTATGGTAAAACAGAAAGAAAAAAGAAAAAAAAAGGACGTCCACTGCTGAACATAGGCCACCTCCAATGCTTTCCATGTTGCCCGGTTGGTAGCGGCCTGCGTCCATATGTTTGAGATACTGAGGCTAAAGGCGGAAAAACGGTATTTAAATCTATTTTTTCATTAAGAATTCAATCAGTACGGCTAGCACGAAAAACTTTCGAGTTTGAATCGTTTGCGTATTCGAATCGCCATCAAAAGATTTAGTACGAAAACTACAACACCGCCCTTGTGAACGTGTCATAAAGTGAACTTAGTATGAGAAATGGTTGCACGAAACTTATTTTGAGAATCAAAATTGTCACGTTATCGTTTAATTCGAAGGTTGAGTATCGAATTTTGTCAAATACGCAAACGATTCGAAGACGAAAGTTGTTCATGCTAAAGGTACAGGACTGCTACTACTTACTATCGGCACAACCCAGCGTTTATCGAATAATGTGTAGATTAATACTTATTCGAGGAAAAAGGAAAAAATAATGTAGTAATTTGGTCGGGTTGGCTTTGTTGTTTAGCAAAAACTGTTGAACCGACCAAATCTTACACAGTTCACGTGAAAATCAATATTTTTTTTGTAGCACAAACAAAAGCAATTTTCCCACTAATAATTTATGTATTTCACAATATCACTTGGTTGCATGATTGGTGATGTTTTGTTTATTGTCCCAACAGAAACACGTGAATTGGCATCCCCACTTGCCGAATGGGGTGTTGTTGGCGGTGTCGGTTCAACACAGCGAGTTCCTCTGGCCCTGGTCCGGCTGGCTTGCGCTAAGCTTCTCCGTGCTAGAGAAAGGCGCTGACTTTGATGGACTGGTCGAGGTAAGATGCCCACCTCTAGTTCCCACCGCTGCAACTCCTTTGTAGCCAAGATCTACAGCTTGACCGCCAACTAAAACCCAACCAGTGAAGGTCAAGTCAATACCTGAAGTCGAAGTCGAGGTAAGCTACCTGAAGAGAACGCCTGTTGTCTTTCAAGCCCCGCGAATCAAGACAATAGATAAAGTCTGTTCGCCGAGAGTTGATAAAAAAAGGAGAACAACCACTTTCTATGAAGCGTTGGGCCCAGTACTAAGTTACTTGTACAGCTACAAATTTTATGTCGTTTTTATGCCTTCATAAACTAGTTTATTATTGTGTTTATTTGAGGTTGCTAACTAGTGTCATTCTCGAGAAAACTAAATTAGAAAAAAATAGAAAAAATGTTACTTTCATACAAAATCAAGTCGTCAGTTACCCAAATCGCAAGCAGAATCCGTTAGAATAGCATAAAATATTATTAATCGATAGTTTTATTTCTTCTTCTTCTTTTAATTCGTTTTAATTCAATTCAACAAGCATTCGCAACAGTCTCATCCTTTAGATCCTTTAGACATACTCTCTAATCTGTGGTCTCATCTATGATTCGTAAGTGACATTGCTGCATTGACAGATGATAAAACGAATTATTTTCATTCAATCTTTTTAGTTTTGTCATCTGTCAGTACAAACCTTCTTAAAGATCAAATACACTGAATTGTCCCACCCGTGACTTTGACAGGGGGCGCCACCGTCAATACCGGATCGCTGGTTCCGATTTTTGCCATGTTAGAAACTATATAGTTGAACGATGGTGGCGCCCCCCTGTCAATGAGTTTGGTGGGACAGTATAGTGTATTGAGTCTTTAATCGATTGACTTTTAACGTTCCATTTTACGTTATCTTAGATTAAATCATTAATTCGTTTTTATTATTGTATACGACTTACGACATCAGTTAAAATTATCATTTTTACCGTAAAATACTCCCTAATGTATGCGTAATATAATATCAAAAACCTACCAATGTACAACTCTGTACAAACTTGGGCCCAAAATGGTTGTTCTCCTTTGAGGTTCTAAACTCATTATAAATTGCGGCCCGCTAATTATTTTTGTCGATATAATGAAAAAGTTGGTAGATTATTTGGCCTGGCCTTTTTTTTTGGCCTGGATTCTCGGCTCGGTTACAATTTAATTTTGGACTACCATTTATAAGAATGTTCTAAAAATACCAATTATCTACCAAAATCTACTAAACGATTTCGCACTACTAAATCATCGTTCTCTTTGCCTCAAATCTACCAAAAAAGTAGAAATCTACTAAAAGTGGTCACTCTGTGGCCGCCGCCGCCCGCCGGCCGGGGCGCTTGACGACAGCTGCGTGGCTCGTACCATGGTAGGTACTCAGTGCGCGTAAAGTGCGTACAGAATGCGATAATTAAGCGACAGTCGCTATTGCAAGACATTTCATAATATTTATCAACTCTCGGCGAACAGACTTTAGATGATCAATTCACGCGATTTTATGCGACCGCTTGGGGTTTGATGCGTTATTTGACCGTAGATCGATCTAATTTTGCTTCCTATAATATTCAGGCATTCTTTTTGACGCTGGACAAGGATGCAAACTTTGATGGACTTGTCGAAGTAAGATAAGTAAAGAAAATGTTCTTGTTCGACAGTAGAAAGATATAAATATACATAGATATGAATTATTTTCGTAATAATAGAAAGATATGAATTATTTTCGGTGTTAGAGAAAGGCGCATACTTTGATGGACTGTTTGAGGTAAGAATTCAGAAAGACAATGCTTTTTTTGGACCATGTACAGATCGGATTTTGCAATGCATATTTAGGCATTATTTTTGGTGTTGGAGAAGGATGCAAACTTTTGTGGACTCGTCCAGGTAAGTATGTATCACAAAGTAACGCTCTTTGTACGACCATAGACAAATCTAATTTTGCAATGCTCTTCTCTGTGCTAAAAGAGTGCAGACTTTAATGGATTAGTTGAGGAAAGATTCGCATGGTCCATACTTTTAGTTCGACTATAGACAGTTCAATTTTATGGAGTATATTTCAGACATTGCAGCTTTCTTTGTTCACCTGTTTCTATTTCTGTGTTTCATTGTGTGTGTAGCTGTTAGGTAAATGGATATGATGTTTATTTAATATATTCCTGTCTCTTCTTGGAAATACATAATTTCCCATAATGATCGAAAATATCAGAAATAATGAATAAAATCATTTTGTACACGTTCCCTTATATAATTTGATAACCAATATACCAAACAAACATTCGTTTGATGCTGGGTTGATAGTTAATTAAATTATGCTTCATTACTCAATGTCAACCAATAAATTGATGATGAGCGATGAGTATTGAGTATCATTAATAGATCCGAGTTCATTTAATTTTCCCTTTACGGTTTTGGATTGTACAAATAAATTTTCACTATAACAGTTTGTAAGCATGAATGTTACAAAGTAAAATGATAGCCTAATTAATTACATTCTCTTTGATTTGGGTTTCAAAATTGTATGAAGAGTATTTTGTCAAAAAACGTAACTTGTTTTTTAAGTTAGAGTGTTTGCTATCTCAGACTATTTTGGTCGATGAATGTATACCTAATTTTCATATACATATACAGGGCTTAATAGACAGTTTGGCAAGAGCTAAGAACTTGAATGGTACGAGTATAGATGACGTCTTGATGTTTCAGGACGTTTACATATATTTTTCTTCAGTCTGAGGAACATAACTGTTTCCGTTGTAAAAAAAAATGTATGAATTCAACCACCATAATTAAATTAGTGACGTGCTTTTTAGTGAATTTAGTGAAAATCGGGGGTATTTTCATAGACTACATTCTGAAGAAAGAAAAAGGATGCAGGCCGCTACCAACCGGCCTTTGTGGAAATCATTGGGGGAGGCCTATGTTCAGCAGTGGACGTCCTATGGCTGAAATGATGATGATGATTCTGAAAAACTTCTGGTTTTCTATTTAGTCAAAGAGATTATCTACTGCTAAAGTTTTTTTTCGTCCGGAGCTACTAGCCCGGAGAGATCAATGGGTTATGTAAAGTTCTAGCTTATCCCTTTTACACCATGTATATTCATAAGTGTTTGCGACGCCAGTGTTAATCGATATCGAGGGTTTTGAATATATTATCTCCCTTGACTTGTCTGATGTGGGCCTTAAAGCTTTGTCTAAGCTCTGATCGCTCAGTATTACGCACTCATTTGAGATTTAGGTGAAGATATTTGAAGGTTAGGTGTCTTATTACAAAAAAATTAAACGCGCGATGAACGCTTGTTTAAAATCCGATTTCAATTCTAAATCTCAATTTAAAGTAAAGACCAACGCGAGTATAACTTTTTGTAATGATGAGGTAAACATTTCTTTACATTATTTTATGAATTTAGGTAAAGTAACATGTATGTAAATGGATTTTGTATTAAAATTGAATATTTTTTGGTTAACAGGGCCACATAAACGTGACTATAGAAAGCCATGGCGATCTCGGAGACAAGACAATGCGCAACCAGACCTTGATGCTTCCGATACGGTAGGTCTTAACTGATTTTATTTTAACTTTAACTACGTAAACGATGTATAATCGTTTCGAATTGTTCTAAAGGATGTTTAATTTTTGACACAAAATGGCGGTACGGTAGATCGGTGACATGGCAGCAATCTACGACAACATCTGGGATTCGGAACTTTGTGGTTATTATATTGTGTGCCGAGGGGCGTTGCCAGTGTCGCAGCAATATGCCAAAACACAGAACACATTTCTCGTGTATGCTATGATGACAGCAGCGACGTCATAATGTAAATAGTTTACATTGCTTGCACTACGCATGCTAAATCATGTATTTCCTCCGCCATTTTCCGCAGTTTGGCACCTCACGTCACATCATTTTACCGAAGTCAGCCCTATAGCTTCGGCGCAGTGCCAATCACTGACGTTTGTCAACAAAATGGTGCTTGACTCTTGAGACAGGCTAAATTACATCTTAATGTTAATGATCAATGTCATTAACAGCATACATTTTTTTAAATACCTTCGCGAAGTAAAACTTCTGCACGTACTTAGTACTTATTATTATTCTGTGGTAGTACTAAAGATTATTCGAACGTTGAGTACTGAGACCGCAGTGGATAGTGATCACATTTTTTTTCTTTGTGTGCGTGAATTTCTTATGCGACACTGAGTTTCGAACTCAGCGCATTAGTTGGCATCTCTCTTCATCTGTATGGTATCAATACATGGAACGCTCTCGTAAACAGCGCTCGCGTGATCCCGGTCCCGGTGCGGTCGCGGCGTCTCCTCTGGGACCAGTTCCACAGCCTGCGCTACCCGGGCGGGTACTTCCCGCGGGACGATCTGCGCGCCAAGCACGACCCGCTGGACTGGCACGCGGACCACGTGCATACCAACTTCAGAGATATGTACCGCCGGCTGCGCGAGCACGGGTTCTACCTCGAAGTCATGGGTCAGTACGAGTTCTAATGCTATGAACAAAGGTTATAATGAGGGATGGATGTTTGTTACTCTTTCAAGGAAAACTACTGAACCAATACACCAACTGTAGAGACATTTACCGATGGCTCTCGAGCACGGATTCTACTGTGAAGTCATGGGTTCGTAATGTTTGTGCCTTGCACAGTGACAAGTGTGATGAGGGATGGATGATGAGTCTTTGACGCGAAAATATAGGTACAATTTGAAACTTTAGGTAAAATTTACTAAAATTATAAATGTGAATGTTTGTGAGAATCGATGGATTGACGAATGTTTGTTCACACAAAAACTAATGAATAGACTGATGAAACCTTACAGTAATATTCTGTATAGACCAGAATAACACAAGGTATAGCTGTTTAAGTTTAATTTTCCCTCGGGACAAACATCGCCTTCATTTGTTGAGTTTTATTGATGGTCAAGTTGTAGATCTTGGCTACACAGGAGTCGTAGCGGTGGGAAAAGTTCAAATACAATGATAAGTTGCTAGTAATTCGGTCTTTCTGTGACAAACGGTATTTCAATCGTGAAAAACAGTGCAAAAGCTTAAAAGTAATGTTTCAACCAGGTTCTCCACTGACCTGCATCGACACCTCTCTCTACGGCGCACTACTGCTGGTGGACCCCGAAGACGAGTACTTCCCCGAAGAGATGGCTGCCCTCAAGAAAGCCGTGGACGCGGGCATGTCGCTCGTAGTCTTTGCCGACTGGTACAACGCGTCTCTGCTGCGGCACGTCAAGTTCTACGACGAGAACACGCGGCAATGGTCAGTGATATGTAGAGATGTTCTTAGCATCCGAATACGGGTCTGCAGTAATCGTGTATTATGATCTGTAGTTGACCACACAATAAAAAAATATGCGCAATTTGGCACTAAATAATTTCAAGTTATACAATTCTCGCGAGAGTGTGGAGAAGTAATTACACATTTTTATATTATTATCTTTTTCCTCAGGTGGATACCAGAGACAGGCGGTTCCAACGTGCCTGCCTTAAACGATCTTCTCAGCATGTATCAGGTAAAGTGGAACAAACTATTACTAATAGGACCAAAGAGCATAATATGACACTATAATGTTGTCGTCGACAATATAAAATGTCAGTGTTTAGCTTGTGCTGTCAACTGTCTAAGTCATTTGCAACTTCACAGGTGGCGCTAGGCGACCGGGTATTCGAAGGCTCCTTCAAACTGGGCGGCCACCCGATGTACTACGCGAGCGGGACACACATCCACAGCTTCCCCGAGCACGGGACTCTGATCACGGCACAGCTGAGCGACCAAGGGCACCAGGTAAAAACAAAGGACAATAAAGTTCTGCGATCGTCTTGTGTTTTATTTATCCAAGTTTTGTGCTGATTAGGGTTGTGACTTTCAAATCCTAACTTCTAGTTTTAATTGATGTTTTGCCCTACCATTAATCTAATCCCAAACCCTGTCGTGGCTAAACGTAATCCGCGAAAGCAATAAAGAAGAAAAAAACTTTAGTTTGCCATTATCTTTGAGAAATACATTATATTCCAGCGTGTTACAAGATGACATGTCTTTGAGTAATGTGTATGAATACTTTTGGAGTTAACAATTGAATTGCGATGGAATGAACGGAATAGGACTTTCTTAAACATGAGGGGTGAGACATGGATCTTAATTTCTGATCTTGTATCAATAAAACCTGTCAAAAAAGAAAGAACGCCATGTATTTAGTGCAAATCACCACCCTGGTGGAAAGCTCGAAAGGGGCAGATGGAAATAAAGGAGCTTTAATAGATAAATGAATATAATATCATCGGCGCTATATCCCTTAGATTTTTCCACCTACATGTCTTAAAAGTAGGTGTATAGAATTTGGGTTGTGGCCTGGACATTTTGCTATGCAGTTGTCGATAGTCGTTACATTTCTGTTGTAGATAATGACGGGTGAGAAGCCTAGTTCGGGCCCGGGCACGCCGCCGTCTGGCCCAACGGTCGACGTGCCTATATTAGGCCTGCTACAGACAGACGGCGAGACCCGCGACTACGCTAACGATACCATCGACAAGATACCAAGGGTTTGTATAATAGTTTACTTTTTACTAATTTTAATACTTTATAGGTTCTAAGAAAACAGGTTGAGCGATGCCTCAAAAATAGATTCATACTGGCTGTAGTGTGTCACTCTTTTCCACAGTATAATCACAGAATCGAAAAAGCTAACAGGCAACAGAATTTTAAAGTATACAGTGCATTGTCTACCTACAGGCAAAGATATTGCTTTCATAGTCTACTTTTTAGTGTTATTACCGGCGATTACCTACCAAAAGAGATGGTTATATCGGGATAAAGTCTTCCCGTATCAGTATTAGAACATTGTCGATATTGGAATGCGCTGATTCTAGGGTCGCTTGTTAGTGCGATCCTCGTCAACAACTGTACTAAACCCTGGCGATACCTCTACTAAAACTAGTATATTTAGCTAAATGGGTTAGCAGGGATATTAGAGCTCTTTATCTAACTTGAAAGAGCCCTTATTTCGGTCGTCTAGTCATGCACGGAGACGGAGACTCGTATCTATAGGACATTAACTTAATGCCATATAGCTCCCAGTTAATTTTATCGTGTCATCTTTTGTTTAGTCCGGTCGCCTGGTTGTGTACGGGGACTCTTCGTGCTTAGAGGGCGGCGCAGCGAGGCCGTGCCACTGGCTACTTCTGGCAGCGCTGCAGTACGCTCTTGGGGGCCACCTGCCTTCCTCGCTCAAGGAGGCTGCCCTACCCGCGCAGGCCCGCGTTAAAGACGTGCACATCATACCTTCAGGTAAGCACCAGCTGTGACGTGCCACTAGATACTTCTAGCAGCATTGCAGTACGCTCTTGGGGGACACCTGCCCTCCTCGCTCAAGGCGGCTGCCTTACCCGTGCAGGCTCGCGTGAAAGACGTCCATATCATACCTTCAGGTAAGCACCAGCTGTGACGTGCCACTAGCTACTTATGGCAGCGCTGCAGTACGCTCTTGGGGGACACCTGCCCTCCTCGCTCATGGAGGCTGCCCTACCCGCGCAGGCCCGCGTTAAAGACGTGCACATCATACCTTCAGGTAAGTACCAGTTGTGACGTGCCACTGGCTACTTCTAGCAGCACTGCAGTACGCTCTTGGAGGCCACCTGCCCTCCTCGCTCAAGGCGGCTGCCTTACCCGCGCAGGCTCGCGTGAAAGACGTCCATATCATACCTTCAGGTAAGCACCAGCTGTGACGTGCCACTGGCTACTTCTAGCAGCGCTGCAGTACGCTCTTGGGGGCCACCTGCCCTCCTCGCTCAAGGAGGCTGCCCTACCCGCGCAGGCCCGCGTTAAAGACGTGCACATTATACCTTCAGATGAGCACCAGCTGTGACGTGCCTATACCATCTTCTTTAAATGAACGGACACTACAAATAACCAGCTTTAGACTGCCAGTCCAAAGCAGCGGAGTGAAATGGCGAATCGAGGTGAAAGTTGTTTAAAAAACAACCAAATATAGCCTGACCAGGAACATAAAAACCCTGGCATAGAGGCGCTTCAATTGCATTTGATAGTGCAACACTGAGTACAGTCGTACATGTGTTAAATTAATAGGCTAAATTTATGTATCAGGATTCAGGATTACGGGCTAATTTGATATTTTCATAAATGAACGAAAAATATTATTAAAGGTAACCTGGTTTAAATAAATTTAATGAAACTTTCAATCGAGCTAGTACGATTTATTTTATTATTCNTATACTTTCCCTTAAATAAAGAATAAATTGCGTGGTCAGAGATTTTCATCACCTGAAGAAGCTGTGGAAGCCTACAAAACGGCCATTTTGGAGACCCAAACTTCCGAATGCAATGGTTGCTTCAATGATTGGTTTCGTGTATGGAAAAATGTGTCAAATTTCGCGGAGAATACTTTAAAAAGCAATAAATACATTTTTAAATAGTAATGTTGTTTCACTTCCTTGATTCCCGAAATTTTCAGTGCCGCCCTCGTATACGAGAAAAAATGGCGGACTTCGTTTCTATGTGTGCGTGTAATTCAATACCAGTTTGATAAAAAATAACGATTTTTGACAATATTAGCTAATTTTTGCAAAGAATACTAGTATAAATTACAATTATAATAAATACTCCTTCAAAAGTATAAAAGCATTTCGAATATTATGTTAAAAATACGCGTAAAACACTGAGAAAATTATCGTACCTTTACATGTCCTAAGGGATACTAATTTTTTTTTCGTCTTTTTCATAATTATTTTAGAGAAAATCTTGGAAGATTTTTAAGTTATTGGTTCGAAATAACGTAAAGAATTACAAAAAGTAACATTTACTTACCATTCTTATAGATTTCGCACAAATATCTTCGTTTTTTTCGGAGCACTAAAATCACACGTCGCCGTACTAGCTTTGCAATTTGAACATCATTTTTTTACTGAATGACAGTTTCAATTTGAACGGGTGAATGTTGTTTATGGTTGACTATTTTATTGGGAACCGAAAACAAGGAATAAAACTCGTAAGTTATTTGGAATAAGAGTTATATTAACGCAAAAGATGACCAAAGTAGTCTTGTCTTAGATCTGAGACATAGCAGTTGACGGGGGTTGCACAGATCTGAGACAAAGCATAGGAGAGGTTAAAGGAAAGGTTTTTACCCCAAAAATGTGTATTTACAAGGATCCAGAGACACTTCTTCAAAAAATAGGTAGTTATTTTATAGCCATTTTTTATTACTATAAAACTGTTAAGTTGGGATTAATCGCTATCCATCTGTTAAAGAGGACACGTGAGATCTTTATTTGGTTTTATAACCATAAGAATTGGTCTAATTGATCCCAGAGGTGAGCCCAAAGTGAGGTCTATTTTCAAGTCACATTTATGGTATATGTTAATCATTTATTTAGAAATGTAATGTATTTTTCTTTAAGGATATTTATTGGGCTTTCAAATAACACCAATATTGTTGGGGTACCATGATTGTGTCACAAGAAAATCTTTAAAGTTCGCGTCGCGGAAGGTGCGGTTTATTTGATGTTGAGTGTATTTTAAAGAAACTCCACCAATAGAATTGCATAAAATCTCCGTTGAGGGCAGGGACTTAGTTGTAAGCTAGTTTAAATATTCATACAAAACAGAAGTGAAGCAGAAAAACAAATGGATCGTCGCGTGCTCGCGGCCTAGCTAGCTCCGCTCCGGTGGAGAGGCAACTTAATATTATTCATCTAGCGACCAAGTTTGAAGTTAGTGTCTGTTTTCGGGAAGCATAGCAGAGCTTTGGTACGCTATCTTTTCAACTTCTTATTATTCGCTATTCTTCTCTTATCCTCAACGAGGAAGTTTTTGATTTATTTCACCTGATGGAAAGAAAGTGATGACGATGAAGGTGGAATCGAGCTTCACCCGGAATCCTCAACCATAGAGAAACTGGTCGGGAAGGTTGACATTGCTGAGTTTGATACGTCATGTCCTCTACGGCCTTTAATTGTTTTATTAAGTAGGGATATTTTTATATGTTAAGATCATAAAGTTAATATACCTTGCGGAATAGAGCAAACAAAGGACTGGGCGAGCGAGACGCCATTAGCAGCAATACTGTGTGATAAAAAGAGATGTATGATGCGACTTAACAGAGCATTTTTTTGCAATTATTTGACAGTTCGTTAGCACTCAATAGCACGCTAAAAATTTGAGCTCTGAGACTGTTTCAGATTTTACGTGAGTGAAATCGAAGAATTTATGAGAAATGTGCTTCAGAAACGTGGTGACTGGTTCAGTGAACTTCAGTGATTGATTGTACAAAACAGTGAAATAATCCTGAAAACTGACATCCTAAAATTAGTTTTTTTTATCCACAACGAGGAAGCTCTTGGCCTGTATCTCACCTGATGGTAAGTGACGGTCAGGCCGAAGGGGGAAGCGAGGTTCACTCGTTTCGTTTGACAGGTCGTGGTTGTTGCTCTATATCGAAGGAATAGTAACTTTATGGTTTAGATATGATACGAGTAATATCAGGCCTGTTCATCTCCGCGAGTTTACATCGAAAACAAAACACCCACGATTGCCCCCTACAAGAGTACTATTCGACAAGGCCTCACATACGAGCGAACATTGACTCACGCACGCGTATTCTTGTGTATGATGGAAAAAAATAAAGAAAATGGTGTACTAAATACTGTGCAGTATTTAACTGCCTAAATAATAATAAAAACACAGAATGTACTTTTTTAAGTTGCCTCAAGACACTGAGAGGTAAATAAGTAGTTAATATTATTCATGATAATTCATGCTAAATCATGTATTTCCTCCGCCATTTTCTGCAGATTGGCACCTCACGTCACATCATTTTACCGAAGTCAGCCCTATAGCTTCGGCGCAGTACCGATCACTGACGTTTGTCAACAAAACTTCTGACAAACTTGCTTGACTCTTGAGACAAGCTAAATTACACCATATTGTTAATGACATTGAGCATACATTTTTTTAAATACCTTCGCGAAGTAAAACTTCTGTACGTAGTACTTATTATTATTCTGTGNTAACACTCGTGGTAAATCTTGGAGGCTCTCCATACCACAGCACAAAACTGCTGCTTTTAGAGGAAGTTTTAGGTACCTGGCTACGAAGTGCTGGAATAACCTTCCACCACCCATTAGGCAAGCTATGACCAAGTTTACTTTTAAAAGTAAACTTAAAAAGCACATACTGGCATTCCAAAAAATCTCTAATGGCCAGGTGTAGTCGACCCCTCTAATTTGACATTATTTATAATACTGACCTGCTAATCCTATTCCTGACATTTAATTTACATAATTTAATATATCATTTTGACATTAAACTAATTTTCACTTTTTATTTATTTAATTTTTCCTTATCATTTGTGTTTTAATGCCCTTGCGAATTGCTGCGGCGATTACCGCCGCTCTCCATTTTCGTCGGCCGCCGTCTGAAAATCAGCGTCCAGGCATTAGCTTGTGACACATGCTGAGACGGAGACCTTTTGCTGCCGCAACTCTGCTCACATTATTTCATTTCTCATTGTTATTTATTTTTATTTTTTTTATTTTTGAATGTGCATGTTAAATATTGTATTATGTTATTTTGTCGAACTATGTATGTGACTTTGTGTGCAGCAAATAAATGCTTACTTACTTACATACTTACTTACCTTTTTTATTCATCGCGAACTTCGTACCGCCTTAGCGTAGAGATTTTCTTTATATTTTTTTCCGTAAAAACCTTGTACAGAGTATTAGAAAACTACAAAAAAAAGTCAGCCAAATCGGTCAAGCCGTTTTCATGTTATGTCGTGACAATGGAAAACGGGTTTCATTTTTATATATACAGGGTGTCTGGTAAATGGGTATATGAGCCGACACTAGCCCATGTTAACATGGGCATATAAATGGTATGGTGAAGTCAGAAAATTGATATCTTCATTTTAACTATTTTAATTTTTATACAAATCGGAATTTATAAAATTTATTTTGTATGAAAATTTAAAAAAATAAAATGATATCAAATTTCTGACTTCACCATATCATTTATATTCGGCTCATATACCCATTTACCAAACACCCTGTATAGATTTCAGCCATAAAACATCCACTGCTGAACATAGGCCTCCCCCAATGATTTCCACAATGGCCGGTTGGTGACGGCCTGCATCCAGCGCCTTCCTGCGCTTTATGATGTCGTCGCTCTACCTTGTGGGTGGAAATCCTACGCTGCGCTTTCCGGTACGTTGCCTCCACTCCAGAACCTTACTGCTCCACCGGCCGTCAGTTCTGCGTACTATATTCCCTGCCCATTGCAACTTCAGCTTACTACCTTTTTATTCAGTTGGCATCATTTCTTCTTGATTACCTAATTATCTAGGTCTAATACCCCTCGTTTGTAATTTGTTTAATGTTTTTTAACGTCGGAATTTTTTTTGCGCATACCAACTGGCCGA